ACGTAAAATGCAAACCCCACACTGTCCTGTCCTCCACTTGGACGCTTGGCCCTGGGTTGGGGGTCACGCTCCTAGGCAGGGTGAGGGGGGACCCTGGTACAGTGTGTGTCCATGGCCCAGGGCTGGCCGGAGCCAGGACGCCCTCCCCAGGGACAGACCGGGGGGAGCAGACAGACACGGGGACAGCTCTTCTCACACGGTCTGCACGGTGCCCTGGGCCTCTGCTGTGCTGGTCCCCACATGGTACGCGCCAGCCTGGCTGGGGCCTGTGGTGACCAGGCTCTGCAGGAAGTGCCCAGGCCCCATATTCCTGTGCCCACAGCCACGTGCCGGGGGGTTTCATCAGTCAGAGGTGAGCACGGCACACAGGTACCTCCGGCCTAATCCAACAGCACTCGAGAACCTGCGCCCACCAGGAGCTCCTCCAGCCTGGCTGCTGCCTCCCCAGCACCCCCTTGGCTTTTCCTGCCTCTGTGCACCCCCAAAACACAGAGCAGCTCTGTCTCCCGCGATTGTCTCTGGAACGTGCCGAGTCGTCCTGTCTGCCGTTCTTGGAGGGCTCAGGGGTGTGTTTCTAAAGTGCTTTTTGCTTGTGTCCCTTTTATTTTATTTTTTAAATATTTATTTATTTCTAGAGAGAGGGGAAGGGAGAGACAGAAACATCAGTGTGTGGCTGCCTCCCACGCACCCTGTACTGGGGGCCTGGTCGGCAACCCAGGCACACGCTCTGACCGGGAGCCAAATCTGTCTGTTTTCCTGGTCCGCTGCAGAATGACCACAAGACAGCTACACTAGAGAGTCACAGACACCCTTCTGCCACCAGGGGTCCTCCCATGGGGCTGCGACCTCTGGAAAGGTGGCCCCTGGACACCCCACGCCGTGTGTCCTCCGACGGGGCAGGAGTCCGTGCCACTGCGGGATCAGTGTGCCCTGGCAGGCGCAGGCTGGGCCGAGGGCCCCTCTCCCCGGCCCTCGAAGCCCCGGCTGCCCTGCACCTTCCTGAAGGCCTGGACAGGCCTGCCCTCGGTCTCAGACACCTCTTGGTCATTCTTCCAGCTCTTCCCGTGGTCCTGCCTCTCTGGGAGGTCCTGGAGGATGCCAGAATCCAGATAGAGACATCTTGGTCGCACCTCTCTGCCCCTAAACTGCAACCACCCTGGGCTGGTCCCATAGCCTCCATCACTGCCCCGTGACCTTGTGTCCAACTCACAGCGCAGCCGAGGTGTTGCCACAATAGTCCTCACCTGACTGACCTCGAGGATGACCAGGCGCTTCCTGCGAAGGTGGCAGGGGCGCAGGCCACTTGAAGTGGGGTGAGTGTGTGGTGCCGGGGCCGGTAGTGGGTCACCCAGCCTGTGGCTGTCCGAGCAGCCCCTCTCAGTGACCTCCCACCCCAGTGACCCTCAGAGCGACAGGTCACCCCCTGGGAGTGCGCTGAGCTCCAGAAGGGTGGAAGGCAGTAGCCCGGGCCTGGGCCTGCCCTGGGGGTCCTGAGCTACTGGTCTAGCAGTGTTTGGGCCTCAAAACAAAGCTGAGGGGCTGGGGAGACCCTGTTGGGGACATCTGGAGGCACACGCTCCAGCCTTGGGCTCCTCAGGGACAAAGGGTCCGGTGATGGGCAGGGCAGCCCCCAGCAGAGCTGAGCTGGCAGCTACAGAGAGAGACGTGGTTCCAACCACCAGGGACCAGGGACCAGAAACAGGCCTAAGCTGTTTCCACGGGGCCTGCGGGGTGGGACGGAAACAGTGCCTTGGCTCGGAAATGCCGGGGGGGGGGGGCTCAGGAGACACGGGGGGCCGCGGGGCGGGGCTGGCTCTGCAGCCCCGGCACCTTGGACTGTGAAGGGACGGGCCCCACCGTCTGGTCTGTGGCTCCACTGTGCCACCCTGTGTGCGAGCAGGCACGTCCATCCCCCAGTGGGACTTGTCAGGAGGAAATGCACTCCGGTGAAGCCCCACCGCGCCAATGGGCCGTTAAAACACCCTCAGCCAGGCCTTGTTAGAACCCCCCGGGCTCCTTTCCTAGTCCTGCCATAGCAGTTTTCCAGAAGGTTCTATTGAGGAGTCACTTGATTATCTAAACAGATTTCTTTCTTTCAGGGCTAAGTTCCAACTGGGTCACCTGCCCACCTACGTGGGTTGAAGGCGTCAGGGTCGGGCGGTTTCTCTGGGCACGACTGGCCTCACCGCGCTCGCATTCCGGCCGCGCCTGCGGGAAACACGAACCAAGCTGGCTCGCCATCCCGGGGGTGCAGAGGCTGTGCCCGGGAACACGGAGGGTCAGCCATGCTTGGCCGTGGTCCCGAGGACGAGGTCACCAAGCCGGCAGAGAGGCAGGAATGTGTCCGACCCACAGACGTGTCTGGAATGTGCTCTGAGCCGAGGGAGCATGCGAGGCCTCGTGGGTCGGACCAGCACAGCCATGGCTTCCAGCTCCAGGCCGCAGCACAGCGCTTGTGACTCTTTCCTCTCTCCGGTCATCGTAGGTGGTGCTCATGCTCTGCTTTGGGCCCGCGAGGGTCCGCAAACCTGACTAGGGCAGTCGTCCTGGTCTTCTCCGACCTCTCGGACTTGCCCCTGCTTGTCCGCGCACCCTTTGCAGCTCCTGCCTAACCATTCTCCACTGTGACAGCTCTTGTGTCTTGTGCCAGTGGGAGCTTTGGGACCAGGGAGGTCTGGATGCCAGGTTCTGGGTCCTGCTGACCTCCGGGGCATGACTTTGGCTCGGTGAGGGCCAAATGGGTTAGGAGCATGAGGCAGGATCAGTCTGTGGCACGTCACGGTGGGATGGCTGAGTCACGGGGCTGTGTGGCTGGCTGGGTGGATTATGGCTATCGAGGGGTCCCTGTGGAGACTGGCTTAGGCGGCGATCAGCCTGAGACCAGGGTCACCGGGGGAGGGAGGAGGGATGAAGGGAAACTTCTAACCTCACCACTGGTCTGCACACCGGTCCTCGAACTGCCAGGGGTCCTGGAAGAGGGGAGATAGAAACAGACACGGATGCTTGGGTCCCCTGTGAGAATTCCAACATCACTGGCACAGGGTGGGCGTCAGGCCTCTGCTGCCTGTGACAAAATACCAAACTCAGTGGCTCAAAGCAACACACAATTTATTGTCTCAGTTCCCTTCAGTTAGGAGCTAGGTCACGCCGTGGCTGGGCCCTCCACACAGGGTCTCAGCTGCAACCCAGGTATCAGCCAGCTGTGCTCCTGCTGGCAGAATTCGCTTTCTAGTGGCCGTGGGGCTGCTGGCCTCAGCTTGACTGGCAGTTAGCTGCATGCGTGTTCAGGTCCTGTAGGTCACCCACAGTCCCTGCCACCATTCCCCGCGTGGCCGTTTCCCTCCTCAAGGCCAGCAGGAAAGAGCAAGAGCCAGCTAGGTGTCTTAGGGAAATGTATGTTGATGTCATTGCTGAAGGGACAGCCCTTTGGCATATGATGTGACCTCATCAAAACTGTGACATCCATCACCTTCACCACTTTCGTTGGCTGGAAGCAAATCATAGGCTCCACTTCCAGTCATGAGAAAAGTGGGCTGACGGGGGGGGGTTGGGGGAGGCTGCCTTAGGTGCGCCTGCCACGTACTAGAACATGGGCATTGGGAGTCTTCAAAGCCCCCCGGGAACTGTAACGTGCAGCAAAATTTGGGAACCACTCACCTGAGGACCTTCATTGTCAGGTATTTGTCTCTGTGGGTTGGCATCTGCTTCCTGCGGGCCTGGCTGCCCAGGAGCCCAGAGGCAGACCCGTTTGTCCTGTGATGCTGGTCAGACACCTGGGGGGAGGTCGCTGGGCAGTTAGGCTCACCTGTCTAAAGTTGGAAAGAAAGATTGAATTACCTGGTTAATCTGGCAGATTGCTGCAAAAGCCATCTCTCCACATTCATAGATCATTAATACATACAATATCCATTTAAACTGCATTTCACATAAAAATGCAAAGGACCAAATTGCATACCTCCAAAATTTCTATATTGAAGCCGCCATCCCCAATGTGATTTATCAGGGATAGGATTTTAGAAGGTGATTAAGAGTAAATGAGTTCGGGGAGGGGTCTACATGAAGGGGAGGGGAAGCAGTTCCGTTCAAGGTAGCTTCCTGGGGGGGCCTGAACTCACCTCCCCAGGAAAACCCCCAGTCTACAGCTGCACAGGCAGCAACCGGAAGAAAAACCTAAAAGCTGGCAGAGCACCCTCCACAAACATCAGAGTGGACAGTGTGTCCGTGTGTGCTCACTGATTGTTACAAACGTGCCATTCTGCTGCAGATGGCGAGGGCAGCTGGGCGTCTGTGCAGCAAGGGGTCTGTGGGAACCCTCTGGTACCGTCTGCTCAATTTGGCTGTGGACCCAAAACTGCTTTGAAAGTTAAGCCTTTTTTGTTTTGCCATGGGGGGTGGGGCTCAGTTGGAGGATGGTCTGGAAGCAACGAATGAAAGCAACAATGAGAAAAAAATCAACGTCTCTCTCTCCCTCCTTAAAAATCAATAACTAGAGGAAAAATAAAAGTAAAGTCTATTTTCAAGAGTGTTGTTTTAGAGAGTATTTTAAAGCGAAAAGGTGAACCACAAAAAGGGAAAACGTGCATACTGTGTAAATAATTGGCTATGGGTCTGTTTCCAAAATGCATAAAACCTTTTCTTGAGACAAAAAGGAATCTACGTCATAGAAAGACAAGACCGAGACTGGTCATGTCGCCCAGGCGACCCACAAACCGCAATGGCCAGGGGGCGGCTGCTCACGGGCAGACATCGGCACCTGCTGGTGGAAAGGACGCTGCGAGCAGTTTCCTCGGCCCTCGGAGGGACTAACAAGAAGCGGGATCCGAGCTGGGTTGCGTGAGGGGCACAGGTAATTCTCAACGGCTGGCACCGTGGGCACGTGGCTCTTCTGGGCGGGAAGAGGATGACACAGCAGTTTCACTTCCTGGCGGGCAGAGGCTCATGGGAGATATGCAAATGAGCCCAAAGCACCCTGGGAAATGGCCCTTTATATTCGCGGGCCGGTGGTCTTCCTCTTCCTTTCCTGGGACGCTGGCTGGAGGGAGGTGGTGACTCGGTGAGAACCCTGCTGGCTGCGGCGAGAGCCCGGGGGTCCCTGGCCTCGCGGGAGGTGAGGTTTAAACCGCTGAACTGTCCAATGTGGCCTGGGGGTCTGTTCAGGTGGGGGTTGGCCGGGTCTGCGAGGTGCTGTCAAGGTTCTGCTGGGTTCCGTCCAGCAGGTTTTACCCGGTTTCGTCAGGGTCCCCCAGGGGAGGCCGGCTGGGCACAAGGGGCGGCGGGTGGGGGAGGGGCCGTGTAGCTCCCAGGCGCGGCACAGCTGTCCGGAGCAGAGGTGCCCTCAGAGGGCCGGGGTCTGGAGCCCGCGCCTCTGCACCCCCGTTCGCCATCCGACCTCTCCCCACCTGCCTGCCAGGCCTGGCCTGTCTGGCCTCACACGCTTTTTCTTTGCAGCTACCCGGAGAAGAGAGCGATTGCATAGCTGAGGAAATTTCCAGAAGTGCACTCTTCTCCACCTCCCTGTTGGATTGGGACCCTGTTTGTCCCCAGCCAAGGCCCCCACAAGAGACCCATGCCCTTCTTCTTGCCCTAGAGCGTCGCCCTGGCGCTTGGGCACAGGCAGGTCAGATCCCCGGGAAGCCCTTGGCAAGTCCCGCCCCCGCCATCCATCTGTGCACTGGACGGGAGACGAAGGCGTGGCCATGTGCCCGCCGGTCAGTGCGCGGCCCGGCAGGGAGGGCGTGTCCCACCTGTATGCGTCCTGGCGCTATCAGCTCCAGCACGGGGACCAGCTACGGATTTGCTTCACGTGCTTCAAGTTCGTCTTCCTGAGCTTTAAAGAGTCGCTGGAGTCGGAGGACTGGGACGATGAGGACTGGGACCCTGAGTTCCTGGAGAACCCCGTAGGGGGGCCTGGCTGGGGGCAGGCCCTAGATCAGCCTGCACTGGAGGCTTCTGCGGACTGGAGCTCGGACAGCCCCACGTCATCCCCTGATGGGTCTGCAGAGGGGGGCCTGGACCAGTACTTTGTGCCCACGGAGCTGACCCCTCAGGACGCAGCACCCCTGGGCCTGGGTCCTGAGGATGCCGACTGGACCCAGAGCCTCCCCTGGCGATTCGGAGGCATTCTGGCCTGCTGCCACTGGCCGAGCCCTTATCTGTTGTGGCAGGTGTTTCTCAAAGAGGTCCTACCCCCCGGGGAGCCCATGCTGTTGGAGCTGGGCACCACCCACCCAGTGGACCCTGCGGAGGCTGAGGCCTGGTTACTGGGCATGCAGGTCATGTCCGTGGTGGATGACTCTGACACCACCTACCTCCGGAACATGACAGCACTCTGGGCCCTGAGGACCCCAGGCCAGGGCTGGAACGTGCTGCTGGAGCCTGATGACATGTGTGCAGTGCGGCTGCAAGACGCACCCCAGGGGTGGGACCTGAACCAGTGGAAGCTGAGCATTCTGGAAACCTCTGAGACAGGATGCGGTGCTGAGCTGGTCCCTGCAGATACAGCTCTGCTTAGGAGGGGGTTCAGCATCCTCTCTTACTCTCCCTGGAACAAGGAGGAGGCAGAGGAGAGCGACTCAGCCTCTGGGCCCGAGTTCTCCGCCCAAGGACAGGGTCTCAGCATCACTGGGACTGGGGAGAGCCCCGGCCCTGGAGCAGCTGCCCTATTCCCAGCTCCTCCACCTAAGACCCGGAAGTGAGGGACTGGGGTCCAAGTGCCCCAGGACGCCCCTTCCCTGCAGCCAAGGGGAGCTGTTGTCAGAGGATGGGGACTCTGGCCTGCGGTGGGGGGTGGCTTCAGTCCTGAAACAGGCCCTCAGCAGGAAGCAGCACAAATGTCCTTAGCTAGGGACAGGGTTTCATACTGTGGATCGGCACAGAGTTGGCAGTGTGACTGCGGCGTGGGTGTTTTTGTGGAGCCTGTGGGGTGGGGAGCGAGGCAGAAAGCTGTGCACTCGCCCCGGTGAGAGGTGTCCTGTGGGGGTCGCACACACTCCCAGGAGCACACTTGCCAGGCAGAGGGGGGCTCTGGTCTGCACTGGGTTTCAGATGTTTGGTATTTTACACGTTTTGGCCATTTAGCTCCTGTTTCTTTGTATGTTTTTATTTAAATAAAACAAGTGTTTTGCATTGAAGCTTCCGACCCGTACTCACGTAGTCCTAGTTGACTGGCCTCTGGTCTGTGTCTGGGTGGTGCCCCATTACTGGTTCAAAACCCCCAGGACAGGGGTGTCCCACACATTTTCACCGGGGGCCACATGAGCTTCTTGGTTGCCTTCAAAGGGCCAAAGTAACTTTAGGGCTGCATGAACTGTGAATATTGCTTAACTGTTAAGCGGGAGCTTGGCACTGCAGCCAGGGGAGAGGAGGTGATGGGCTGGATTCAGCCTGTGGGCCTTGTGTTTGCCGCCTGTATCCTAGGACAGGAAGACCAGAGTTTGTTTCACAGGTGTTTCATTATTTATAAATAAATACAGGCTTAAAAGAACTAGTTTTTCTTTTTAAAGAGTTTTATTTATTTTTAGAAAGGGAGAGAAACAGCAATGTGTGGTTGCTGCCCCCCAGTGGGGACCTGGCCCACAACCCAGGCATGTGCCCTGATGGGAATTGAACCGGAGACCCTTGGTTCGTAGGCTGACACTCAATCCACTGAGCCACACCAGCCAGGGCAGAAGAACCATATACACCTGAGATTTAAAAAAAAAATCTACAGGCTAACCCACGTGTAAAGGATCCCAGTAACATTCACAGAACAGAGGCACTCATGACTGTCCCCAGCCCCGGGCTCCAAAGACCGATGGGGGAAGGCAGCGAGGCTGAGCACCGGGTGCTGTGGGCAGGGAAGGAGTTTGTAATTGGCAGCTGCTTGTACATGTCCAACCAACATGGAGGTTTCCACAGGTTGGCAGTGGTGGTCTCTGGCTTCCAGTGATTCAAGGGTGGGCCACGTCCTTCCCAGCGTCCACTCCCTGGAGTCTCACTGCTGCAGCAGGGATTAACAGGAGCAGTAAGGCCCTTTTACTGGTTTTTGAGACCACTCTTCCTCATGTATCTTTCAGAAGTGAGTCTGCAGATCCTAAATCATCGAGTCTTCCTGTGGTAATTGGGTGGAGAAAGGGCGTTAATGTGGGGCCCCAACAAACCCTGGTAGTTCTGCAAGGACTGGGTGCCTTGCAGTGTGCATGCCCCTCCTCCTCCCAGGCAAGCTCCACCTCCTCAGGCAAGCCCCGCCTCCTCCCAGGCAAGCCCCACCTCCTCAGGCAAGCCCCGCCTCCTCCCAAACAAGCCCAGCCTGGTCTTTCCTTCATTCCCTTCCCTCTCTGAGGTTCAACAGTCCATTTATTCATTGTTTCAGCCTTTTCTGCTGTAAGGTCTCTCGGGTCCGGATCCAGAGACCTTTCCTGCAGATCGCCCAGCCTGAGGGGGTCACACTGGGGCTGGAGGAAGCAGCCGTGTTCAGCCCCGAGGGCCCTTCAAGGAGGCAGGGAGGCCACTGGTCCCTTAGTTGCCCACAGGGTCTGTTCTGAGAGAGGACAGTGCTGTGTGGCCATGAACAGTCTCCCTTGCCCTGCACTTCAACAGCCCCAGGCGGGCACCTGCAGTCAGGAGGCACTCTGACCTCTGACCCCCACTGAGCCTGCCAGTCCAGGGCAGCTCGAGCCCAGTGGTCGCTTGGTCACTCGTGCTGCTCAGATGTCAGTGGCTCTCTGCCAACAAGCAGGAGCACCCCGGACAGAAGCCTGGGTGCCTGCTGACCAGGGTGATTGGCATCACTGTCCCTCCAGGTCTGGGGCCGGGGTGGCGGAGGGGAGGTTGGGACCAGGACCGGGAGAGTGTCATTTCTGACACTGAAAGCAAGCAGTGCCATTCACAGCGGCACCGAGGGGAGTGTGTGCTGAAAACGTGCCCTTAGCTACAGCCTGCCGAGGGGCCCTGGGGCAGGCAGCGCCGGGTGAGTGTGCCCACTGGGAGCCCCTCCTGGGCAGCCCAGGGCAGTGCAGGGAGCCCAGCCAGGCAGGGCCCAGGCGGCCTCTCTGGATGACTGGCCCCTGCGTGGGGCTGCGGCCCAACCCTGCCGCCAGTTTCCGCCGGAAGCTGCCTCCTCCGATGGGCAGTCTGCTCAGAGCCCCTCTGGGCCCACCGGCCCGGACTCCGTGGGGCGCATGTTGGCCCGCGCTCCCCACCCCAGTCCTGCCCCCTCTCTTTTACCTTCCCCAGACGCTTTCTGGGGTGAGAGGAGGCGCAGGGGGGTGGGCGGTGACAGGACCCGCCTTTTTGACGAGTCTGTGGTCAGGCTGATGAGCATCTGGAAAGAAAAACACGAAGCAATATTCTGTCTATGGAACTTCATTTCCCACAGAATTTAGTAATACAATTGGAAATGAGTTTTGCAGAAAAACTATCTTTCCAAAACATAATGGACCTACGATGTGCAGAGCAAAGCCTAAAGTTGCATTTGTGTGAAGTGGGGGCCTTATTATCAATTTATGATTTAATGGTCCATGAACTGACTCACAGGCCAGCAGAGTTCTTTTAGCTCAGAGCACAGTAGGTTTTAGGGGCCAGGCCCCCACAACCCGGCAGGGAAGCCACAGTTCCCAGCAGGAGCCCTGGCCCCATCACACCCCAGCTCTGGGCAGAGGACGGAGCCCACACCCTCTGGACACGCAGGTGCTCCCAGGTCCAGGCTGGGGAGGGGGGCTCACCCCACCAGGGGTCCAGGGAACATCCTCTCTGCACCTTCGGGCCTTGAGCTCTCTCCCTCCGCCCTCGCTCCACCCTCCTTCCGGTCCTGGTCCCCTGCAGCCCCCTCTGCACTTAACCCAGCCCCTCCCTCTCCTCCTGTCCAATCTACCCTTGTCCCGGGTGCCAAAGGAGGGAAGGCAGTGTGGCCATGTGGCCGCGTGCCCGGAGTCTCTGTAAGACCTCGTGACCTGGAGATGGGGACCAAGACTGTTCTAGGAGGGTGCGGGGCAGATCCCCCACCCTGCTCGTGGATGCTGTGCTTGGTCTTTGGTCATCGTATGTCCTGGTCCGTGGCTCTGGGGGCTGTTTGGTGACCCTGGGCTGTGTTTTTGCAGGTTTCCCTAGTGACCAGGGCACGTCCTGGGCCATGGGGTGTCTGGACCAGGGGCAGCAGATGAGCTGTCTATCGGCCTGAATCACCTGCCCACGGAGGGAGAGGATGAGAGCAAGAGCTGTCTGTGAGTCCACTTGTCCAACTGCTTCCACAGGCGACATGGACACTCCCAGGCCAGGAGCTGCCGGGCTGGGGGTCCGTCTCTCAGTGAGGAGTCCTGGGCTCCCTGGAAAGGATGGAGGATCTGAGTGCGATGTATAAAAGGCACAGGGAGTTCTGAACCAGAACAGCAGCCCCACTCACAGCGGCCAAAAAGTGGAAGCAACCCAGGGTTTACCCGGGGGGTGAGTGAGCAAACCGTGGGCGTTGGCACAACGGCAGGGCATCCAGCCTCCGGAGGCAGAGCCAGACGCCTGCAGCCGCACAGGACAGGTCCTGTGGGCCTCCCTCAGGCGAGGGCCCTGGAGGAGCCAAATGTGTAGGGACCGGGGAGGAGGATGGACCCAGGGGCTGGGGGCGGGGGGTGGGGAGTTAGCTGTAGCAGGACAGTTCTGCTTGGAGTGATGGAACATTTGGAAAGGGGCACAACATCGGGAGTGTCATTAACGCCACTGGGTAGGGTGGCCTGGGTCCAGGGTGTGACTGGGGCTGGGGGTGCAGGGGTGTGAAGGCTAAAAGCAGAGACACGTCCCAGAGAGGCGGCCCAGCTGGGAGCAACGTCACTCCACCATGCTGCCGCTGGTCTCGCCCAGGGTGAGGGCTACTTAGACGCCACTGGGGCCTGACCTGCTGCTCTTGGCCACACCCTGGGGCTCCTTCTGCCCAAGACCTGGCACCGTCCCTGCGCCCCACGCCCTTCTCATTCCTCCAGTGCCTTCCCCGGGCCCCCAAACCCCTCCTCCCACCCCATCCTGCCCTCCAGCACCACCTCCCCTTGGATCCTGTGCCCCGTCCCTGGCGCACACCTCAGCCCCCCCGGGCCCCCTCCTCCAGGCCCCCTCTCCTGGCACCCCCGCCCCGGTTATGAATATCCGGCACAGGCACAGGGCCACGGCGCATTCCCAGCTGGCGGCCGGGCGGGTGGCGGCCACCAGGATCCAGAGCGCAGATGCCCAGGCAGGACTGGCAGGCGGAGTCCCTTCTGTCTTGCATCCCAGGCATCTCACCCGCCTGCAACAGAGTGTTCGGGGACGTGTGACGGCGAAAGCTTGACCTGCTGTGCGGTGACCGAGGTGAGACGCAGGGCCACCCTCTGGGGTGCCGGGGGCCTCGTCCGGCTCGTGCAGCCGGGCTCCTGCGCAGCCCGGCGGTGGAGGGCTCCGGCACCGGGCGGGTAGGAGGGGTCCCCTCAGACCCCGTGTCAGGGGCCTGGAGCTGCGGCTGGGCACCTGGGGCGGCCTGAGTCCCCTCCCGCTGGGAGGCTCAGGTGCTGCCACCAGGCAGGACACTCCCAGCTTTTCCTCAGCATCAGCCCTGGACGTGCGAGGGAAGAAGCCTGGAGCCCGCATCACCCGGGTGGGGGGCCGTGGGCTGTCCCGGGCCTTCTCCTCGGCTTTGGATTCCCAGGTTTTAGGCCTTTTTTCACACGAAGATAATCATAGTGGAGGCGGCGATCTTGAGCGTGCGACTCCGCAAGTTCTTGCACCTGTGTGCTCCGTGTGCCCCCACCCGTTGGGGACGTGGCCTGTTCCCACCCCCAGGGGGCTCTCCAGTGCCCCTCCCAGTTGACCCCAGGTCCCCAGGCCGATTGCCTTCCCCGAACTCCATGTAAATGGAATCCCAGCTCGCCCTCTTCTGGCCGGTTGCCTGGGCGGGCACTCACCTGGGCGGGCACTCACCTGGGCGTCCCCCTTGCTGGAAGATGCAGGATGCCTCGTCTTCTCTGCGGGGAGCGGGGAGCATTTCTAGGACAGGGTCACAGAACAGGAGCTGGCACACCTCCTGTTGACAGGTGTGGGGCGGCCGTCAGGGCCCAGCCGCGGGGAGGAGAGCTGCTGTCTCAGGTAGTGTGCCCGTCCCCGTAGGGGACGAACCTCGGATGGAGCTCCTGGCGGGAGGCAGGCCTGCGGACAGGCTGGCGCGCATCCCCGCCAGCAGGACACCGTCCGCACCTCCGTCCCCACGGGTCTGCCCTGCACCTTTCCCTGGCACCCCGACTGCCCAGGGCTCTGATCTTTTGAGCATCTTTTCATTTGCTTCTCAGCCTTTTGACGTCTTCTTTTGAGAAGATACTGTTCAAAGCTTCTTTCCGCAGTTTTCCATGTATCTCGGTGACGGGTTCTTTGTCTGGCCTTCTCCCAGGCCCCGGCTCACACTTTTGCTCCCTCAGTGGGGGCCACCGGTCGTCTCGTTCATTGTGCGGGTTCTTGGTGTGTTTGGAGGGGTCTCTGCCTCCCCAGGGTCGCACGGGTGTTCTCCTGTTTGTCCAGAAGCTCAGCAGATGACTGACTCAGCCCCGTGCAGGCCCACAGTCCGAGTCACTTTAGTGTCCGGCATGAGGCGGACAAGTGGACATTACAGGGCTTTCTTTTTTGAACTCTTGGAGTCAGCAGGTTCTACTTTTGCCATCTGAGCCAAACGTACTTTTAAAATGTGCAGGAGAAACACGGAGAAAGGGCTATAGGTAGGGGAGGCCCGCTCTTGCAGGTGAGAAACAGAGGCCTGGGCGGGGCTCCAGGCTCCAGCTCCCAGCTCTGCCCACCGTTGCCCCTGCCCCTGGCCGCCTGGCCATGCCGTGCCCCTCAGAAAAGCCCAGTCCGCCCCAGAAGCCCCTCGACTTGCATGGAGGCCCAGGGTGGGGGCGCTCTTGGGGCAGCTGGTCCGGGTGGCTCCCTGGTCTTCGTGGAGAGCCAGGAAAGAAGACAGAGCTCTGAACAGAGGGTCTCCAGGCTGAGCCCGGTCCCTCCCCAGGCCCCGCCCCGTGGGAACCGCGCCCTCACGCTGGAGGGGTGCCTCGCCTGTATCTTGATGGGCATCTTCTCCTGCAGCGCGAGCCCGTGGCCCACAGATGCCCCCGCAGCACACCCGGCCCCAAGCCCCGCGTGAGGCGGCACAGATGGCCCTGAGCCCAGAGCCTGCGAGCAGCTTCCCCACACCCGAGTCCCCCCGCGGCCCCAATGCATCGCTCAACAGCTCGTGGGCCAGCCCCGCGGAGCCCGGCGCGCCAGAGGACCTGGTGGCCACGGGCGCCATCGGGGCGGTGCTCCTGGCCATGGGCGTGCTGGGCGTGGCGGGCAACGCCTACGTGCTGGTGGTCACCTGCCGCTTCCTGCGCGCCTCGGCCTCGCTGCACGTCTATGTCGTCAGCCTGGCGCTGGCCGACCTGCTCTACCTGCTCAGCATCCCCTTCGTGGTGACCACCTACGTCACCAGGGAGTGGCACTTCGGGGACGCGGGCTGCCGGGTGCTCTTCAGCCTGGACTTCCTGACCATGCACGCCAGCGTCTTCACGCTGACTGTCATGAGCCGCGAGCGCTGCGCCGCGGTGCGGAGGCCACTGGCCACCGCGCGGCGCTCCAAGGGCTACCGCAAGGGCCTGGCGCTGGCCATGTGGCTGCTGGCGCTGCTGCTGGCACTGCCCATGATGCTGGCCATCCGGCTGGTCCCCAGGGGCCACAAGAGCCTCTGCCTGCCCGCCTGGGGCCAGAGCACCCACCGTGCCTACCTGACGCTGCTCTTCGGGACCAGCATCGTCGGGCCCGGCGTGGCCATCGGGCTGCTCTACCTGCGCCTGGCCCGGGCCTACTGGCTGTCGCAGCGGGCCTCCTTCCCGCAGACGCGGCGGCTGCCCAACCCCAGGGTGGTGCGCCTCATCCTGGGCACTGTGCTGCTCTTCTGGGCCTGCTTCCTGCCCTTCTGGCTGTGGCAGCTGCTGGGCCAGTACTGCGGGGCCCAGCTGCTCACACCCCGCACCTCCCGCATCATCAACTACCTGACCACCTGCCTCACCTACGGCAACAGCTGCGTCAACCCCTTCCTCTACACACTGCTCACCCAGAACTACCGCGACTTCCGCCGGCGCCCGCCCCGCCGCAGGCGCGCCCCTGGGCTCACAGGCGGCCAAGCCCTCCCGCAGCGCCCCGCCTGCTCCCAGCGCCTCAGGCCGCTCACTGTCCTCCAGCAGCCTGCAGGCTACCAAGCCCATCAGCCTGTCCCAGGAGGCCCCAGGGGCGTCCTCAGATGAGCATCCTGGTCTCCAGGTGGGCCCTGGGGTGGGGTGGCCGTAGCCGGAGTCCTGTGGGAAACCCCTCCCAGCCCTGCTGACAGCCTCCCTTCCTCCACCCTCCTCCAGAAAGTCCCCTGCCCTCCCTTCCCCATCACGTGCTGAAGCAGTCAGCCCAGAGCTGCCCCAGCCACGCCGAGTGATGTCAGGTCAGTGCCCCCCCCCTAGTGGCACACAGCCTCCTGCCTGGGACCGGCCCTCCTGGCTGCTGCGTGGCCCCTGTGGCGACCATACTGGCCCTCCTGGCTCCGTGACAATAAATGCTAAGCTCCGTGGCCTCTGTCTTGCCTTGGCCTGGGGGCGGGTCATCGGGGCGGGAGGGCTCACAGCGTGGCAGGCAGGGGAGCCTGTCCGCAGGCACCCGTCTTCCTCTGAGGCCTTGCCGGCAGCTGGACTGGCCATCCCGACACGAAGGGCTGGTGCTGTCCGCCTAAGCGAGGCCCAGGGGTGTGCGGCCTGCGACTGGGGGTGAAGCAGCGGCCACCACCCCAGTGTGCTCCAGGAGGAGGGGCAGCCGGGGCGGGAAAACCACTCACGGAACTGAGCCGGAACCCTCCCGTCTGCAGCTCACCTCTTCTGCCCAGACTTGTGGCTTCACCTTGTACCTCTGTGCACAGCGCTGAGCTGGGCCCCGCCCCAGGACAGCCCACCCCTGGCCACTCCCTCCCTGAGGGTGTGCCTCTGTCCACCGCTGCTTGAGGGCAGGTCACCGAGAACAGCAATGACAGCCTTGGGCAGGAAGCCTGAGAAGCAGGGGCCAGCGTGGCTTCCTCTGAGGTGCTTGATGTCCCCGAGGCTGTGGCCACCAGCACAGGGCAGCCTGGCTGAGAGGAAGCCATCTGGAACCAGGTGTCCGGCCCGGGACAGAGGTGCCCACCACCGGGGGAACACGTGGCCAAGTAAAATCCGGATGGAGTTGTGTGTGTGCACGCAAGTCACGAAATCATAAAAGAATGAACGTCGTTCTAACGGAAGGAGTGAAAAGGATTTGGAAAGCGTGACCTGGAGTCCATCCGGAACTCAAGGAAAAGACCCAGACACTTGATGACCTCAGTCATGTAAAATTCCGATTCGGGAAAGATACGGGAAGCCGAGACACCCTCAGCACACGGTTGGTGCCACCTGTCGAGGCGGGTTTTGACCGGGGCCAGCACGCCCACGTCAGATGAGAACAGATTCACGTTGACGGTGCTCGTTTCGGCCTCATAAACATCGGAGACACCCTGGCCATTCAGTGAACTAGGACGTGTCCTGAGGGCCACGGAGGTGTCGTTCGGAAGGCCCCCCCCCCGGGGTACATCTGAGAGTGCGGGTAAATGGGGGGCACAGTGTGACCCTATGTACTCTAACCCCAAATTTTATGGACACAAACAAGTGTGCACCCGTGAAAGTGTGCATGAGTGTGAGTGTGCACAAGGGTCTGACAGAGATGTCTGGAAATAACGATACTGTCCCACGTCACAAGGACAGGGACCCGAAGGGGCTGGGGAGCTGGCGGTCAGGCTGCCACCACACCTCAGCCACAGGGTCCACGCGTCCCGACGGGGCCCTGCCGCCCCAGAGGCACCTCACGAGGACGCCCCCGCAGTGGACACCCCGGTTCACCTCTGGCAAGTGGGGGCCCCAAGCCTGCCGCCTTTCGTGTCTGATTCTCAGACCCCACTGCAGAGCGCACAGGGCTGCCCTCCGTTCCACGCCCGAGCAGCACCGCCAGGGGTGGGCCGCTGTGTGCCACCTGCAGGTGGACGTGAGGGTCTGGTCCCCGCTGATCAGGAGTGAGGCTGCTCTGGACACCAGTACGTAAACCTCACGGAGGGTACTGGGGAGCCTCTGAGATGCTGACTGTGCATGGATGGGACGTTTTCGTGAATCTGCACTTCCATCCACGGCTCCCCAGAAGGTGGGTGAATGGGGGCAGCTTGCTGGGGTGGGGCGTGGGGCTCCTCTGGGAGGCCGTGGGCAGCAGAGGAGCCCGGCGGGCGGGCTGTCCCAACTGCACCTGGGGAGGGGCCGAGTGCCAGGCCTGGGGCACTTCCCCAACCTCATCCCACCCCATCCCCATCCTCCAGCCCTTGCAGAGCAAAAACGGGGAGCTGCAGTGTTGGGGCTGCAGGCACCTGAGAACTGGACAGTGGGGGCCTGACACCTGGTCGGGATGAGGAATGGACTGTGTCCTGCAGCTGGGACCTGCCACCCTTTCCTGTTTTGTCTTCTGTCTCCCTAAGAGGGTGGAGGGGGTGGAGGGGATGGAGGGGGTGGAGGACGGCGAGGAAGAACCCAGAAGGGGGAATTCACAGCCAAGGCAGAGGTTTGCTTCCTAGGAGGTGGGCACACAGGCGTCCAGGACGGGAGCCTGGGGGTGGGCGATGGGTTTTCCAGGAGCAGGCCAGCCGGTCTCATCCACTGGGTTTGACTGCTGGTCACTCAGGGCAGTGGGGGTGTGCAGGGCCCCAGGAGAGGGGCCTCGCCCAGTCCTGGCACCTGGCTTGTGGGGGCAAGGAGATACCCGCTTGCTGCTCAGACCCTGCGCCAGCGGGGAGGCCGGGACACCCGCCCTCAGCGGCTCGCCTGGCTGCTGCCCTTTGTGTCTGTTATTTACCGACAAGGAAGCACACCCACGGGCCCCCTTCAATCCTCTGTCCGGGGAGCTCACAGTCAGTGGACGCCCGTGCCCGCCTGCCTGGGGGCCTCTGCCTTTGGAGTCTGTCCTCCCGGGGGGGGGGCGGTGCAGCCGGCCGTGGGGAGGATGGTGCCAGTGTCTGTGGATGGAGAGGTACCCTTGCCCGGGGGAGGGGAACCCAGCTGGGTGGCAAAGACCTGAGCTCTTCCTCGATTTCACACCTGTATACACCCAGCTGACAGGCCTGTCACCTGGAGGGCCAGCTGGGGGCGGCTGGGAGCTTGGCTAGCAGAAGGTGGGAGCCCCCATCCTGTGATGAGGGCGGTGGCCAGAGTCTAGCTGGGGTCCATACACCCACAAACCACCACTCCGAGGACCTGGGGCCCCACGCAGGGCGGCCTTTTCCATTGGAATTCCAGACAGAGGGCGCTCAGAGCAGGAAGCCTGGCTGCCAAGGGCGCCCAGCCAGGAGCTCTGGACGGAGGCCTTTTCAGGCCGGCTGAGTGCCTAGCCCATGGGCTGGTGGCTTGCTCCGGCCCCGCTCCCACCCCCTGGTCCCCCAAGAGGGCCACTCGGTGGGCACGCCCCCAGGCCGTCTTTCAGCCAGTGCCTGTCCCAAGAGCTGTGAGCGCTGGACTCGAGGGGCTTCCCAGGCCAGTGGGTGGGGCCACCCTTTGCCCCCGTGGCCTCTGGCAGCCTCAGTACGATCGAAAGTCCAGAGCCTGTGTCTCACCCAGAAGCTATGTGTCAGTGAGCAGGGTGCCCGGGCGTCGGCACTGCCGGGATCCTCTGGGGCCCCAGGGGGAGGAGGGGGCACCTCAACTTCTGCCCTTGGCCCCCCAACATTCTACCCTCAACCCACAAGCCCTGCTAGCTCCCCCCGCCAGGGCCCCAAGGTAGGAGCGCTCTCAGCTGTGTGGGGCAGGCAGGGAGGGCCCGGGCGGGGCACCGGACCTGGGAAGGGGCAGCAGGTACAAACGCGGGCCCACCGTGTCCTCGGGATGCAGCCTGGGTCCGGAGCCCACCTGGGTGGGCGGAGCCCCGGGGCATCTCCTCTCCATCCTCTCCCCTCGCAGCCGGACCCTCGCAGGGATGAGGCGGGTCCCCAACCCCCTTCCTGGCTCTATCTTTACTGAGGGGCCTGGGAGGAGCTGGATGGTGTCCCGGGGTCTGGGTGACCCAGGGATGGAGGCGGGGCATGGAGCTCCTGCTCCATACCACCCTGGCTGCGTAACCTCAGCACTGTCCCAAACCCCCCACCCCACCCCACCCAGCCTGGCGTGTCCGGGGCCCTCCCGCTGTGCACCGGCAGTGGCGCCCTGTGCTGGGGCAGGCGGGGCCCCCATCCCGGAGCCCCACGGGCCACGCTCCCTGGGGGTCTGCTCGCACTGAAAGGTCGGGGGCTCTCATGACCTTCGGGGGACAGAGACCAGGTGGCCGTCGAGTCCTCCCTTCCTGCTGGTCCCCAGGGTGCACAGGGCAGGGAGGGGCTGCTGGGGGGCTGCAGGGCCCCTTCCTGGGGAGAACGGGGGGCCTGCGAAGTGAGTTCAGGCCTGGCAATGGGCCCCGTGCTTTCTTTCCCAGAAACTCAAGATCGAGGTAAGAACCTGAGTCTTGGTCTGACAGCCCTGAGTGGGGCTGGACCTCCCCGCACACCCCCACGGCCACCACCAGGGGCCTCGGGTCCGCGGTTCACCCGCGGCTCCGTGGTGTTTCGCCAGCTTGTTCTGCACCTGCCGTTGCCATTTCACCCGTCCCACTGCTTCATCCCCGAGCGCACGGTCCGCGTGGGAATGAGCCTCGCTGTCCCTTGTGGAGCTTTCAGCGCAGAGCAAAGCACAGCCTGGCCCCCCGAGGGTGGGAGAGGCCTGGCTCCCGGAAGAGGGACATCAGGCAGGACGCCCGCCTCGGTCCTCGGTCCCCGTCGGCCTAGAGCTCCTGCTGCTCCCGGAGTCGGGGCACCGTCGAGGGTAGATGACTCTCTGCTCACAGACAGACGTCCACTCGGGGCACGGGGACCCTCCAGGGGGAAGGGGGTCTGTCCACAGAGCCTGAGAGCAAATGCAGGAGCTCGTGGGGGGCCGTTGGCTCTCTTATTTTACTCACAGAGGAAGTGGCTGGAACATCAGGCCACCTAAAGCCAGGTGGCACTGGATGTGGAAGGGCTGCCGTGGGGCAGGGGCTGCGGCCTCCCGGCTACGCGAAGGCGGGGTCTGCGATGCCCTGGTCGGGGTTGCAGGTGAAGGCGATGGTGATGGCGTAACGGGTGCCCCAGCGCACCTTCTCCACGCGGTGCAGGTTCTCGGACCCCGAGGTGAAGAAGGACACCCGGCCTGGGCAAGGAGGGGGCGGAGAGAACGACCCGCTGGGTGCGTGGCCTTCAGAACCACGTCCCTAGCAAACCGACACCACCCACCAGTGATGGGGAGATCCGCCCACTCGGGGGCTGCTGAAGTGGCGGCTCCCCAAGCGTCTGGAGAGCGGCAGGCAGGCCCTTCATGCAGGAAGTGGGCACCCCAGGGCCTGTTGGGGCACAGGAGCTTGTTGTGGGCGGGGGTGGGGGGTGGGGGCGGTGGACTTGGGGAGGAGGGTCCCCAGCAAGGCCTGGGTTCTCTCCAAGCCAGCCTCTCAGAACCAGGCGGAAATATGGGCAGCGGGGGTGCAGCCCCTCTGTGCCGGGACCCAGGCCAGGCCCATGTCCCTGAAGCAGGCTCCGCGTGGCAACTCCGTGACCAGAACATGAAGGCATCTCAGCTCAGAACCCCGCCCCCCCTGTGTCTTCCTCCTCTTTGGTGCCAAGGGCCCCCGGACGCCCCCTGAAAGCACATAGGTCACATCCAGTCTCAGCATGGGACACTTCTCTGATTCTTGGTCCATTAAATTTTTGGAACCCACAAGATGTCACCTTGAAGCAAAGTTACCCTGGTGGGGGCGCCCTGGCTGGTGTGGCTCAGTGGGTTGGGCATCGTCCCATAAGCTGAAAGGTTGTGGGTTCGGTCCCCTGGACGGGTGTGCACAGAAGGCAACTACTGATGCTCCTCCCCCTCTCTCCCTCCCTTCCCCTCTCTCTAAGAAATCAACCAGCGTGTCCTCGGGTGATGATAAAAAAAAGATACTCTGGGGGCACGAACCCAGCAGGCCTGGGTCGCCTGCACCCTGCGCAGTCCAGGAGAGGGTGGCCCCTGGTCCCCGGCTCCATGAGAGACCTCCTGTCCACCGGGAGCCCCGATGCATGATCTCAGATGACCGTGACCTACAGTGGGGCCTTTCATTGTACACAAGGTTCTACACAAGTATTTACTGGGCTTAAAATGCCCCTCAGGAAGCCACTGGGGACACCACGCCTTCCCTGTCGCAGGTCTGGCTTTCCTTCCCCCAGGGCAGCGCTGTGGCCCCACAGTGCCGGGCAGCGGAGGTCCTGACCGCCAGGAAGGGGAGGCAGGTCCTGGAGCTCAGTCCTTTACCGACATTCCCAGGCTGGGAGCGTCCTCTCATCTCAAGCCGCTGGATCCCGCTGGGGAGGGTCAAGGCAGGAGCACAGTATGGGGTGCAGGTGCCAGGAGCACCCCAGGCAGGGGCGGGCTCTGGGAACTGCTGTGGTGACAGCAGACCTGCAGGACACGCCTGCCTCTGCCTCTGCCTCTGCCTCTGGGTCTGGGACCGGTAGGTGCCGTGTCTGAGCCATGAGTACCCCAGGGCCACCTGTGCGTCCTACCTGCTCTGGGCTCCACCGTCTTGTTGGCCCCCTCCTCCATGAACACAAAGCGCCCCCCGCCGAAGTCCTCCAGGTAGTCGGAGAGGTACAGCAGTGAGGTGTAGTCGAAGGAGCCGTAGGTCACCTGGGGGCAGAGCGGGGCTGTCGGGCCTGGAGCTCAGAGCCCCGCATATGCTCCGCAGGTGTGGGTATGACGCGCGAAGCCTCTGGCAGCCCGTCCGCCTCAGAGGCACCCGGCACTGCCTGCCTTCTGGCTCCACCCGGCCCCCCGACCAGGCGCACCTTGTCCACGTGCGCGTGCCAGTACTCGTCGTGCGCCGTGCGCGCCGCCGTGCTGTTGATGCGGGAGAAGAACGTGGGCTTCGTCAGGTGCAGCGCGGACGTGCTGATGCCGAACGCCTGGGCCACGGCCAGCTGGACCTTCTGCCGCACGTCCCTGCGGAGGACACACGTGCCACCCCGAGTCGTGCAGCCTCAGCGGGGAGAACGCCCCGTGGGCCCCCCGTGCCCACACGGGGCTACGCGGGCTGCCGGAGGACAGAAGGTGGGCATGCGCACGACATCCCACATGGCATCCCAGGGCATTGCATGTGTGAGCGGCCCCTGTAGGCAGGACACAGCACAGGGCCCGCTGGGCAGAGCGGTGGCAGGAGAGCGGCCTTGGCGCACTGCCTACTCATCCTGAGTGGTGCACAGAGGCCTGGACTGGGGGTGATGCCGGGCACTGCGGGGGCTGGGCTCCACGCCACACACGTGCCGCCATGTGCTGAGGTCCTCAAACCACATCCGGAGGGCACGGCTTGTGCGTGACAACTGCCCCAAGCCACCGGGTGACCCCTGACACATGAGCCACCAGCTGCAGGGAGCCGCCACCTAGACGAGGGCCCTAATGGGGCCCTTCAGGCGCCTCCAGAGGACCCCCCCCCCCCAGGCTCGGCTCAGCAGGGAGGATGTTGGTCTTGTTGCCAGGGGTGGTGGCACCAACTTGTGCTGAGCCAGCGATGACACTCAGCACGGGGGTGACGTGCATTCAACGTCTCCTGTCAGCCTGGCCCCAACCACCTTCATGGGAGGGACGCGATTTACTTCATTGGCTCAATGCTCCTGATCTGTTTCCCTCCCAGCCACGCACGTCCTGCCTAATCGGCTGGTGAAGCTGGGAGCACAGCTAGTCACAGTGACCCAGGGCGGGGCCCCCAAAACCCCCAGCGCACAGCCTGCCGTTGGGACCCTGCCTCCCCTCAGGGGCTGTACACGGGGTCAGCCGCTCTGGCTCTCGGGACACCTGCGGCCTCCATGGAAACCAGGGAGCCGCGCCAGTGCGTGGGGTCACTCGTCACCGTTCCCGTTTGTGTGTAAGGATGAGCCCTGCCTGTGAGAGGGCAGAGCGGGCGGGCGCTGTGTCCCTGCCTTTGCTCCGCTCAGACCTCCCCACCCACACTGGCCCCCCCCCCCCGCCCCTCCTCACCGGTACAGCTGGAAGTCCTCTTCTGAGAAGATGTTTTCTATTTTATCCCCAAAGTATCTGTGGAAAAGCATTAACAAATAAGCGTGTCATTAATTTTTTTTTTAAATTCAGTCTTCCCTCCAGGTGATGCACGGGGCCCTGAAAACCAGCCCGGGGAACAAGGGTGCTGCCCTCTGAGAAGGGCCAGGCCTTCCGGTCCTCACCTGGCCGTGTCCCGCCCTGCCAGAGGCCCTCACCTGTACAGGTTCACAAAGTGCTTCCCAGCAGACAGGGCGCCCGAGTGCAGGTCCAAGATGGACGCCTGCAAAAGACGTTTGTGGAGCCAGGCTGAGGGCTGCGTGGTGGCCGTGGCCCGAAACCCCAGGGGCTGAGATGCGCCCAAGCACCGCCTGGGGCAGGGAGACAGAGCTCCAGCAGGCTGGGCCAGAGCCGCGTGGCAGGGCCTTCCCGGCTGCCTGATGGGCAGACTGTGTCTCCCTCTGGAAACCAAGAGGCCCCCGCACCTGCACCCATCGTGCCATTGGCACAGTAGACACAGCCATCTCCCCCACATTTCCTAGCACCTCTTGGGGAATCCCTCCCTCCCGGCACAGAGGTGCTTTCTGCTCCTTTGCAAGGCTTTAGGTTAGCGAACCCTTCACTTACGACGCTTTGCCTCCTTGCGCCCAGCATGGCCGCCCTGCACTTCACCCCACGACCCATGCATCGCTGCCCCTTCTCCCAAGTGCCAGGAGCCCCTGAGTTTGGGTGCCACGAGGTGTCGTTCACCTGCAGGGGGTATGTCTGTGGGGACAGACTCTTCCACCCTCTTATGCAGATGCCGAGGAGCGGAGCTGCGGGGCCCTAACTCTAATGAGTCCCCAGAGCGCTGTCTGCCTCCAGCCGCTGCGGGTCCTTCCCCACCTCCCGCAGGGCTGGGGCCGCCCGGGGGGCAGTTGCACCTTTCTCCTTTCCTCACTGCTCTAGCGACCAGCCCAGGGTCGTGGACAGAATCTCTGCTTTAAAAATGCTAACTGAGCTCACAGGCATCAAACCAAGTCAATCCGCTGCAAGACAACTTCCCGAGTGAACATGGAGGGAAGAGTCCGCACGAACAGGTTTTCCGTAAAAGTTCTCCCTGAACCGACCCGACTGAAACAAAAGGAGCAGCTTAACCTTCGGAAACTCGAGAGAAGAGACCGCAGACCAGGGAGGCAGAAAACCACCGAACGGCCTGGGAATTTCCAGCAAGGTCTGTGAAAGGAACCTTCCGGAGTTTCAACATCTACGCTGGTTCAGGTCCCATGGTGACTGTAATTCGGGAATCTCCAAATGGCACTGAGAAGGAATCTCGCTGCGGATCGACATGCTAGGCAGAGGTCCACATTCAGGAAACCACACGTGGCCTCCAGATGGCAACCAGAGCCCAGGGGACACCTCGCTGGCAGGAGGGCCCGCCGGGGGCTGTGGGGGCCCCCGTCTCAGTCCCTGTAGCCGATGTAACTAAGTGCCACAAACCAGGGCCTTTCCACAACAGGAAGTCGTCCTCCGGCCCAGGACACAGAGCTCTGGATCGAGGGGCCACGGGGCCACACTCCCTGCAGAGGCTCCATCGCCCCTTCCCCGCCTCCGCCGTCCCGTGGCTTCCCGTGGCCTTGATACTTGTCAGTGGAGTTTGGGGCTCCAACCAGATGATCCCCCATGATCTCATCTTGAGACCCTTAACTCATTAACACCTGTAAAACCCTTTCTCCCAAATGAGGTCCATTCACAGTCCCGGGTGGGTCACAGCCCCCACAGTTCCCTCTGGGGTCTGGGGGCCTCCGGCTCCACTGGCACCTTGCCCCCGTGTCCCAGAGTCCCTCCATTTCCCGGGTGCTGCTGACACCCGCTGTCAGCCCGGGCCTGGGTCCCCAACCCCGGAGAGCCTTCAGAAATGCAGGTGTGGCCTGCAGCTGGCGGCTGTGAAGCTGTGAGGCTGTGAGGCGCCCACTGAGCAGCTGCAGGCAGTGCCCTGGGACCCAGCACCTGTCCTGTGGGTGGCAGGGGAGCCCAAGGGCCCTGCGCGTCCTCTCCTTCTCCTTCCCCTCGGAAGTCAAAGGCGCGAAGAGGAAACGGAAGCAGGAATCGCACACTACTCACCCCTCCACCGGATCCTCCCAGGGCCAGCCCCTTCTCCGCGATGCTGTGGGAAGGGCGGTTCTAAGTCAGAATGACTGACAGTCTCGGGGACGACAAACCCAGGCAAACATCAACCCCATGATGAGGGCGACGCTGACAGACCGACGTCTATGACACAAGGACATCGTTAGGCCACAGGACTCAACTTCCAGCCTGTTACCGTCTTGCCGACAACACGGGACACAGCGTGAAATTCTAAGACCCTCTAAATCATCCTTTTAGCAGCAACTCTGCCTCCCCCCCCCCCCCCCCGCCCCATGGTCCGGCTCGTTCGAGACAGAAGCCTGGAACTGCGTTGCTGTACCTTCGAATCCGCCGGGCCTCGTCCCTGGTGATGACGGTGTCGGTGATGCCCCGGCCACACCTGGTCGGGGAGCAGCCTGCAGAGAGAGCGGCCAGGGTGAGAGGCTGCTCGGGCACAGCGACTCCTGAACGCGGAGCCTGTGGGGGGTCCTCCGCGGGGGCAACAGGAGTTCGTGGGATGGGACCTTGCCTTGCACGGGATTTGGGGTGGGGACCAGATTTGGCAAATAAAACATGGGACATGCAGGTAGATGCAAATGTCAGATGAGCAAGGATGACTTTGAAGTGGGAGTGCGTCCCGTGCAGGACACGTCCTCTTGCTGGGTGGCTGTGTTGCTGGTGGCTGGCACCAAGTTATCGTCCGGGAAGCACCTGGAACTCCACGGAGGGCAGGCAGAGTGTCCTTAAGTGCCATCCTGCCAGACCACAGCTGTGCCTGTGACAGCAGCCACTGTCCTCCCGCCCCAGGGCCCTGCAGCTTGTGCTGATGGCGGGTGCCAAAGCCTCCCTCCTCTGCTGCGCTGCTCAGGGCCCTGTGGCTGCTCAGACAGAGGAGTCTGCGGGGCGGGCTGGGGCTCTGGCATCAGGACCAGGCGGGCCTCAGAGGTGAGGAGCCCCTGTGTCTGGTAGGAAGTACAGGCTGGCTCCCCGCACCCGATGGCCCCAGGACACGACCCGGCTGAGGAGATGAAGCCTTGGACAGCTGAGGATATGCTGGGCTGGCTGACCTCTAGCTTTTCACCTTTCACCCTCCCGCCTGGAACTCGAGCCTGGTGCCTGGAGGCAGAGTGAGTGTCCCAGGACTGCCTGAGCGACACACTGAGTGGCAACACTGGGGACGCAGCCGCAGACCGGCTCCGAGGGCACCGGGCTGGCTGGGGTCACCCTTCTCTGGACCTTGTCTGACGGGAAAACTTGATCTTGAGGGTCATTGGAGAAGGGGTGCGGCAGTTCAACGGGGGGCTAAATGCAACTCTACCGACACAGATGGTTTTTTCATTAAAAAACAATGCCAGCCCTGGCGGGTGTGGCTCAGCAGATTGAGTGTAGGCCTGGGAACCAAAGAGTCACCAGTTCGATTCCTAGTCTGGGCACGTGCCTGGGTTGTGGGCCAGGTTTCCAGTAGGGGGTATGTGAGAGGCAACCACACATTGATGCTTCTCTCCCTCTCTTTCTCCCTCCCTTCCCTTCTCTCTAAAATAAATAAATAAAATCTTTAAAAAAGGGAAAAAACCGAAGACAAACATATGCTTTTTATGAGGGTCACCCCCAAACAGGACAGCACAGAAAGGTGGAGAGATGTGCACAACGCCAGCCGAACGTCCGGGAGCGCTGCCCGCACCCACGAGCGAGCTTTAGGGCGAGGCTGCTGGAGGGAGAAGAGGGACATGCCTCATGAGAAAAGGGCCAATCCCCCAGGAAGGTGAGGGTGTGGCAAGAACACCTGGTAACACCGTGTCCCACACGCAATGTCCCCCAGCGCGGGAGCCAGCAGCAGCCGCAGGCCCGGCGAGAGGCAGACTCAACACGCCTCCCTCAGTAACCGACGGAAGCAAAGGGCAGACGCCCTGGAGGATCAGAGGGTTTGGCGCAAGAGCCTGGGCTCAGAGAAGGATGCCGAACTCTGCGTGCCACCGTCAGAGAAAACACGTTCTCCAGGCACACAGGAGACCTGCACGAAAACACGCTGGGCCCCAAACGGAATCTGAACGAGCACCAACCGGGGATCCCTAGCACACAGATGACATTGTCTGGCTGCAGCGCCATCAGGTTGGAGATCGGCATTTTCAAAGAGAGAACCCAAACCCCATACATTTCCAAATTGTAAACGCAGCAGCAACATGGCATCTGTGGTGTAAGGTCCAGAGCACAGGGAGTGACGTGGGTGGCACCATCAGTGCACACGCACGGGCGTGCGCTCCACAGACGTGCACTGACACGCAGCACATAACACGCCCCCGGGGTGCATGGCGCCCGGGCCTCTTCAGGAGCCGCTGCCCAGACTGGAGGAGCCCCAGCACGGAGAGCAGCCCCACGCGCCTCTCGCCTACAGCACCACGGGGCTGAGGAGGGCAGGCCCGGGGCTGGAAAGTACACTCCCACTGTTGTTTCTTACTGTGGTGAAGTGTTCATGACACAAAACTTACTGCCTGAGCTGTTTCCAGGGGGCAGCTCTGTGGCACCAAGGGCCATCACACTGCTGTGCGGCTGTCACCCCATTCATCCCAGAACTTGGTCGTCTTCCCAAACCGACACCCCATACCCATTAAACACAGACTCCCCACCACCTCCCTTTCTGACTGCTTTTAAACTCCCCTTCAGTTCTAACTGTGGAAACATGTTCTCGAACATGGGTAAAAGCCACCTGCACCGACCACAGAGTTGGCCCTTCCCCGAGCACTCGGGGTGGCACGCTGTCCCCGCCCGCGCTCTGCGTTCAGTCAAGTGCTCTTGTGCGCATCTCAGCAGCACCCCTCGGTGGAAAAACTTGGCAAACTTCTTGGTTCAAGTTCAAGAAAGCATTGCTCTAAATGAAAAATAAACTGGCTTCTGCCTGTAAAACCCAGTCACTCAGGCTAGGATTCTCAAACTGAGACAGCACCCAGGGAGCAGGGAGTATGCTGGGAAGTGCCCGGGACTGACCACCCAAGTGGCCTGTGCGCTCTCCAGGGTGCTGAACCCAGGTCCCCCGGGCTTCTCCAGGCACAAGGCTCCGCCTCATCCGGACCACCAGCCATGCCCTCTGACCCCCTTTTCAGGGAGTAAGCACCAGGACAGGACACGCACCCACGCGGGAGAAGGGCCTCTGAGAGTGATGTTCCCGTTGCAGTATTTTTTGTGGTGACAACACTCTAAGACGCTCTGCACAGCCAATGCTTTTTCTGGTTGATTCCTCCCTTTCCAATTGTTACATCCATCCAGGCACATGGTGCCCTCCACCCGACGGTGCCCACAGCGAGGGACGCCTCGGCAAAACACCTGCACTTCCAGGCCCAGGTGTGGGCTAACAGACCTGGGGTCAGGGAGAGGTCGTCTGCCACCCCACCCACACTTTGAACCTGAGCCCCACTGCAGCAAAAGACACGCATTTTAGAGGCACCGTATTTCACGTTGACTCGCTGCCCTCTCCTGGGCGACCACGGCGCTGCGCACCTTCGAACCTCCGGTGGCTGTTATAGTCCTCTGAGCAGGGCACCTCGATGAACCGGCCAGACAGAACCTCGCCACGGTGAGCCAGGACCTCAGTGATGCCGTCGTCGCCCCCCAGACTGCCCCAGAGCAGGAGCGCAGCAAGCGTGGCACAGGTCCCCAGGACGGCGGCTCTCAGCCACTTGCTCCACACCTCCCTCGGCGGCGCCCGGGCACTCTTCATGCTGAGAAGAGAAAACAGCCAGTCACCCACGCGCACCTGTGTGGGCTGAAATGGCGGGCTGCGTCCACAGCTGGTCGCAGCCTTGGCCTGTCCTTGCACCCACCGTTTTCAGAGCTACTGTTAATCAATCCAGAGGCACCTGCCCGGTGGGGAAGGACACAGTGGCAAACGTGCCCCTCCACGGACCAGGGGCGGCTCGCGTGCCCCTCTCACACCTCACAGGCAACAGGAAGAGCCGCCAACGGATGACTACCCCCTCTCACACGTGTGGCCCGGTGAGCACGCACAGGCACACACACAACTTGAACCAAGTTAGGTGTGACTCAAATCCACTTAAGTAGACTACAGGCTGCTGCTCGGAAAGAGAAAACAAACACAGCGGAGATGGCCTGCAAGCAAAACACTTTCTTTCTCTTTTATAAAAGATTTTATTTACTTATCTTTAGAGAAAGAGGAAGGGAGGGAGAAAGAGAGGGAGAGAAGCATCAATATGTGGTTGTCTCTCACATGCCCCCTACTGGGGACCTGGCCCACAACCCAGGCATGTGCCCTGACTGGGAATTGAACCCTCCGCCCTTTGGTTGGCAGGCTGGCACTTGATCCGCTGACCCACACCAGCCAGGGCAGGGCACTTTCTGTACAGCCCAGGATCCCTGGAGGGCTCGCACTGTCCGAGCCGAAGTGGCGCGGGTGTCCGTGTTTCTGCAGTATGTATCTGCATGTACATACATCTGTGTGCATGCACATGTGTTTGCACACATGTGTAACTGAGCAGCTGTGTGCTCTGCTATCTGGGAAAGATTTGGCAGCTGCAGAGCTTGATGAATGGGCAGAAAGTGAGAACAAAGACCAGGGCATCCCTCCGTGTGGTACGGGTACCTGGTTTCTTCTGGCGCAGAACTAACTCCTGGAAAGCAGGACACCTGTCTTCTATTTTTGTTTCTCACACCTCACATTGCTAAATCGATAATTCCAATGAAACAAACCCCAAGCTGGGCACAGCGCAGTCAGACCACCCTGGGTGAGCACACGGTCACTTTAAAGGGCGGTTGTAGCTGCCTGGGGGTCGGCCCAGCCCACAAAAATCGGCCACCCAGTCTCCGCTGACTAATTAGGCTGGGGTGGACCCCTGATCCCAGCCATTTCCCTGCCCCAAGAATGCAGATCGGGCGGGGAGAGCGCTGCAGCAGGCGGCTGAAAGCCTGACTTGTAGGTGCAGGGCTGTGGGCCACACATCCCCAGGACAGCCTGGCTGCTGAGACAAAAAGGGACGTCGCGGAGCAGGAGGTGTACAGGGAGACAAGGGTGAAGAAGCAGCCTCTCCGGCCAGATTTGCACACGACGCTCCCTCGGAGTCTCCTCAAAAGGAGCACCCTTGTTTGGGGTAAGCTGCTGAAACAACCAAAGCTGCTTTTTCAGGCCTTGGAGCGAGGTCCATGGCCCATAGGGCAGGCACCACAAGACGGTCACTCGTCCCAGGGTTATTAAAACGCGCCCTGGCTCCGAGAGCTTTAAGCAGAATCCTCCGGAAGGCAACGTGATCAGATGGTCACACCCATTCCTCTGGCCATTTACCTGGGATCGCTCCCGTACACAGCCCTCAGGAAAGCTCACGGGGACCAGAGAGTGGGGCCGTGGGGACTCCGGGCCCCTGAGAAGGCCCAGCATAGGGCCCTCTGGACACACCGGGTAGGGAAATCAGGGAAGGTTTGGGGCGCAGAGCCCCTCTTCCACGCCGCGACCCCCAGCCTCAGGTAGAGGTTCTGAGTCGGAGCAGGCTACCCAGCTAGCAGGCCCCACCCACAGACTCCCCGCCCCAACACGGCCACGCCCCATCTCTGAGCAGCCCGCCCACCACATGGCCACGCCCCACTTGTGGGCGGATCCCTGCGCAGCACCGCCGCGTCCAGGCCACGCCCATGTTCCGGCCCGCGGTTCCGGAGCCCGCGCCCTCACGCGCAACCCTTCACCTGTTCGGGCGCCTGCGCTCCGCCGCTCCGCTGCCCTCGGGCGCCTTGGGCGCGCCTCTCCGCTGAGGCGCCATCCGGCCAGCTCGGCGGACACGGGAGCCGCACGAACCGAGACGAGTTTCGCGAGAGGTTGCGCGAGGCTGGCGCGGCCGGAGACGCGGAACGACTCGCTCGGCCGTCGCCTGCGGGGAGCGCGGCTAGACCCGAGCAATCGCAGGCCGAGCGCGGTGCACCCAAAGCTCACCCTGCTTAACACCCGGCCGCGGTTCTCTGCTCCCCCACCACACTTGGAACGGGCCGAGCTCCGACCCCAAGTCTGAAGCGCGTCCTCACCCCACGGCGTGTCCTCCCGGCGCCTCCGCGCGCCACCTCCCCAGGGTCCGGGCCACACCTGAGAGCATCTCTGTGCTCAGTGGTCGGTCCGAAGGCCCTCTGCTTCCCGTGCAGCTTCCGTGCGGTGAGAAAGGAGGGAGAGTTAAGTAGCCCTATCAAGAGACCTATGATCCTGAATGAGCCAAGTTAACAGTGAGGGTCATTCATGAAGATTATGTCTCAAAGGTGAGTAATTTACTGATGGAGGCGGGGGTAGAAAACCTGGGATCCACTGGACTAAGAGTTCTGTCCCATTGTTCTGAAACTGGGGACGGGAGTGCCATTGCAGGCCCCTCAGGACCTGGGTTCACCTGCCGGGGAGCCGCGGAACCAGCGATAAGGGCATACCTACCTGTAGTCTGATAAAGAATAGTGAGAGGTGACCCAGGTCTCAGAAACCTCATTTCTGTAGACCTTTCAGGAGGGAATCAAAGCAAGGAAACTGGCTCTCCTAACCAGATGGCACTGACTTCTGTGCCTTCGCGGACTGGCAGGGGCTTCGATTGCCAAGGACTCTGATGTGTCTGTCGCAGGTGAGATGTTTCTGCTCTTTGCACCCGTTGTCTCAGGAGGAACAGGGTTTCTGTCTGAACGTGAGGTGCACACAGGACCAGTGTGGATTTGAGCTAAAAAAAAATGTCACTTTTACATTTATTCCCTGAACAAACAGATTTTGTTTGTGTGATTTTAAAACAATTCAGCTTTAAAAGCATTGCGGATTTTCACAATACTTTTTTATGAAAAACTCATCCCCTGCCTGCCCCCACCCACCCGGTAATTTAGGTAATTGCCTCAAGAATTCGGTCATTGAGCCCTGGCTGGTGTGGCTTAGCGGATTGAGTGATGGCCTGCGAACCAAGGGGTCACCAGTTCGATTCCCCGTTTGGGCACATGCCTGGGTTACAGACCAGGTCCCCAGTAGGGGGTGTACAAGAGGCAACCACACATTAATATTTCTCTCCCTCTCTTTGTCCCTCCCTTCCCCTCTCCCTGGGGTGGGGGGGGGACAGAACCGAAACAGAAATCAGAAGCCTCTGCCCACTAATAAGTCTGAATTTCTCTACCAGGGAGAAGTGCCCCAGACAAGAGATTTTTGTCGTGTATCTTCACAAAATAAATAGCAAGATGTCAGGCTCCTCACTGTTTAAGATGCGATTTGTTCACCTGGACCTTAAAGGAGCCCCGCCTAAGGTCTCCTACTTCTCGGAGGTAGGAGCTCCCTTTTCCCTTGAGGGAACCACTTTGGGTTCAGTCTTCCAAGTTGTGAACAGAGTCTTATAGAAATGTGTGCTTGGAACCCAGCTGTGACACCCGAATGGAGGGGGCCCAGCTCTGTGTATAGTAGACAAGACGTAGTGCCCATGTCCTTGAGGACAGGAATTCACATCCTTTGAAATAAAGCCGGAGTAATGGGGAAGCCCACGAAGTGGCCAGCACCTCTGTTTCTTCTCTGGCTCCTGCCAGGCATGCACCCCCACCCCATTCCCATGCTCAAAGAGGCTCCTCTGTGCTGTGTGTGGCCGGACAAGCTGCGTGCTCTGACCCTGCAGCTGGTGGGCCGAGCTCGCTCAGCCCTCCCGCCCCAGCTCAGCCACCAGTCAGCTGCTGTTCAGAGGCGCTGCTCTAGGGTGTGCGGTCTCCCTACCCAGGTGCCAGGTAAAGATGTTACTGTGTTAGAGAGTTCAGTTTGACGTAACACAAAGTACACATTCCTGGTACAAGGTCACAGGGAGGATGCACGTGCAGTCCCACGTGCGTGAGGTGGAAGGGTCCTGTGCCACATGTGTGTCCTTCCCACGGTCACTCCCCGCCACCCCCTCTGCCGCCAGGTTTTCCCTCTGTTCCGTGCCCTGGGTGCAGACGGCCTCCTCATCGAGTATGAGGACATGTTTCCCTACGAGGGCCACCTGCGGCTGCTGCGGGCCCCGCACGCGTACAGGTACCTGCCCCAGGAAGGTGGCTGCACGCAGAGAGGACAGTGTGGGGGGCGGCCACCTGGGGACGCGGGCGGGGCAGGCGAGGTCTTTGCCTGGTTGGACAACCTGTTTGTCTTTTTAAGCGTGTGTCTCTGATTAAAATAAAACGCGTTCCCAGCAGAGGGGAAGCTGTGTCCTCGTGGTGGGCAGGTGTGTAGTGCCAAGGGAACCTTCAGCAGGTGCCGTGCAGGGGAAGGAGGGCTCCCCTTGAGGCCGCTGTGGATCTTTCTGGGAAGGCGGAGACTCGAGGGAGAGGCTCGGAGTCCGCGACATGGGATATGGTGGTCCTGGGTGTGCCCCGCTGGCTTCGAGATTACAGCGTCCACGTAAACCAGGAGCAAACAGCCCAAAGAAGCAGGGGCGAAGGACAATAAACAGATGATAGCCATAGAAGAAATGAAAACAACAATGAAATACCATTTTGCTACCAGATTGGTGAACCCTTTTAAAAAAACCATGACACTCTGGTGGTCACGAGGGCAAGAAACAGCAGACATTCTGCTGGCGGGCAGCAAAGAGCCAGGCCTTTTGGGGTGTCGGGGTGTGTGTCAGGGCCCCCCAGCGTGTGGGGGCGCAGCCCTACAGGTGGGCTCGGGAGGGGTGGTCAGGCCGTTGCTCCGCGGTGAGGTCGCCCAGGGTTCCGATTTCCTTCGCGCTCCCCTGTTCTTCCTACAGTGGCTTCACTTTGTTGATGTGTGTTTTTAAGTGAAAAAGCTGTTTAGGGCCAAGGGAGAACTTCACACAGTCAGAACATTTTTAGAGCTGATTAACCTAAGGGATGGTTTAGTCACATAGAGAAACTGGAAGTCACTTTCTTCTGAGGTAGATTCACAGGCGGCAACTCTGGTGGAGGGACTGTCGGCCCAGCTCACACCTCCCCCACGGGGGGGTGGGGCGTTTGGCCCTCCACTGGGAAGGGCCTTTGTTTCCTCTCTTGAGGAAATCACCTGCTTTTTCTCTAAAGCCCAGATGGTGAACGCTTTAGGCTTGGCCTGCCTGGCTCCGGTCCCCACTCTCCGTGGGGCAGAAGCAGCCCCAGGTGGCAGGTGAATGATGGACAGTGTGTGGCTGTGTTCCAGCAGTACCACTTGGGGGCGCTGAAACACGTTTCTGAATCATTTTAAATTCCGGCACCGTCCTTAGGTTGCTGCTGTGTGGCAGCCTGCCTCCCCTGCTCTCGTGCGTGATTCGCATGGCGATTTCTGGGGAAAGGACTTCAGCGTCCTGTAGTCTGGGTGGGAACAGCTGGTAAAAAGCTGTTCCTGGGGGCTGTACATCACTTCCACAACTTCTAGGGCGGGGGCGTCTCTGACACGGTCACAGTCCCTGTTGAGCTTTTCGGAGATAGGACTGCACTAGTTTGCCCTGGCACCCAACCCGGAGGTGCAGGGAAGGGTGGCCAGGAGTTGATGTGACCTTCTCAGGTGACTTGGTCTCTGCAGCCCCTCGGAACTCAAGGAGATCCTGCACCTGGCCGCACAGAATGAGCTGGAGGTCATCCCCCTGGTGCAGACGTTCGGGCACATGGAGGTAAGGGAGGAGTGGGAGTCCCCGGTGCCCAGGTGTGGGGGTTCGGCGCCGTGGCAGGGAGCAGCTTGGCACTTCAGGGACAGGATCTCGGAAGCCCCTGCGAACAGCTGGAGAGCGTGGAGCAGTGGGCCAGGCCCCCTCTGCCCCAGGTGAAGGCAGAGCCGGGGACGGTGCTGCCTCCGAGCCGGGGCCCTGGCTGTCTGCTTCCTAACTGTGCTCATCAAAGTGTGACCGAGCAGCAGCAAGAAGAGGGGACACGCTTTCTGTTTTCTGTGTGTCGTTCCCTTGCTTCATGTGGGAAGCACACTCCCGTGCTCCCCTGGGACCGTCAGACCGTTTCCCAGTCCATGACCGTGGGAAGCGATGAGACGCAGGTGGGCCCTGTGCTGCCCTCTGACAGAGGCACCTGTGACTGACAGATGCACCTGTGAGAGCTGCTGACCGACAGCCTCCCTGTGTCCTTGCGGTCTGGAGCCTGGAGCCGGGATTCTCTCCCGGGACCAGCCCCCACTGGCCGGGTCCCTCTCATGGCTTTACTCAGGGCTCTAATCACTTTCCGCCTCTGGGCCCCCCCAAAGGTTGTTCTTGACAAATGGTTCTGCCTGGCTCTTGTTTGGGGGGCGATTCCCTGACCTCTTGTGTACCTGGAGCAAGAAGTCCGCCCAGCCTGTGATTCTGCATGTGAAGGGGGCCTGTCTGCTCAGTCCCCACTCAGCCCATTCGGAGAGGCTGGGCTGGGACGCGGCCACTGGGCAGCCCCCGCTCTGCCGCCCGCCACCGTGCCCAGCCTCTGCAGGGGGCTTGGCACAGGGCTGGGGGCATGGACGGAGACTCGGCCTGTCAGGACACCGAGGCAGGAGCCTGGCTGTGGGTTCCCTCCCGAGCCATCCCTTGCTGCAGGGGCTCTGGCGGGAGCCCCCCTCCCCAGGCCCCCGACCACCCTTCTGCTCTCTCTCCACAGTTCGTGCTGAAGCACGAGGCATTCGCTCACCTGCGGGAAGTGACGCTTTTCCCCAACACCCTGAACCCGCACGAGGCCGAGTCCCTGGCTCTGGTCGCAGCCATGGTCAGCCAGGTCTTGGAGCTGCACCCTGGGGCCCGGTGGTTCCACCTCGGCTGTGACGAGGTGGGTGCCTGTGTCCCGTCTCACACTGGCCACGTCCACAGCAATGTCATGTCCTCCCTTTGCCTTCTCCACCTCGTGGCTGCTTCTCTGAAACAAGAAATGGCCCACGTGCCGAAGGACAGAGGCGGTCCGACGAGGGAGGGCTGGGCCCGAGCCCGCGGTGCCACCCCTGTGCCCCCACGCCAGGGGGATTCGTGCCTCCGGGGTTGGCAGCGAGTGCAGGTTTGAGCTGGTTACTTTATCCGACCGAAGAAATGCAGTTTTAGGAAATACCACTTTGGGGCCATGGAGCACCGGTGGGAAAAGGTGGTCATGTGGGGGGTGGCGCCGTGCCTTCCCCCCACCCTCCCACCGCCTTGTTCTGGTTCACTATTTCCCGAGAAACTTGGGTGCGCCCAGGAGGGTGCTGAGCGTGGCAGGGGCTTTGCACACGTTTGAGCTCGAGAATTGATCCTTTTCTTCACAGGAAACCCTTTTTTGCAGAGGTAAAATGCAACCTAAAATCTACCATTCTAACCATTTTAAAGTATGTGAGTCGGTGCCTCTTAAGTATTAGGTCGGCCAAGCAGTTCACCTGGCTTTTCCAGACGATGGCTCTGGCAGCGCTTAGCCGTCTTCAGCCTCGTCCCGAACAGTGTGGTCACACTGTCCTGTGACGGCTGTTGTGTCAGCGCGCACGAAGAACAGTCAGAATCGGGGCCTTTTTGTGTAGCCATTTTAATATTGAAGGGGGAAGAAAATACGCAACGCTTTTGGCATATTGTGCTTTATTTAAGAAAAGTAAAAACTCAACTGAAACCCAGAATAAAGATTTGTGCTGTGACTGATCGAACCTGACAAGAGTGGTTTGCGAAGTTTCGTGCTAGAGATCTCTCGCTGGACGGCGCTGCACGGCTGGGCGGGCCAGGGAAGTGTAGCAGGCAGATGGAGACGTGAATCGAGAACAGTCCGTGTTGCACCATGAGGGAGGCGCCGACGTGCTCAAAATATCCTTCTCAGTGACTGTGAAAAAATGTTACTTCATGGAGAAAACTGAACGGACTTTTGGGCCGACCTGATACATTCGTGATGCTGTGCGACCGTCACCGGCATCCGTGGGGCCTTCCCTCCCCTCGAGGGGAACCCACGCCCCTCAAGCAGTCGGCCCCCTCCCCTGCCTGGCCACCGCTTCGTGTTTGTGGGTTTGCTGGGTAGCGTGTGGCCCTCTGCGCCCAGCGCTGTCCTGAGTGGGAAGCTGAGTGACACTCTGGTGTGTGGGGGGACGTGGGGTGCTGGGCGTCCTGCTGGGGGACATCAGGGTTATTGCTCTCCAGAGCTGCTGAGAAAGGGACTCTCAAGCGGGAGTTTGGGTCTCGGTGGGGAGGGCAGGGTCCCACTTTGCCACCGGCTCCTCACCTGCTGCTTCCCCTGGGGGATCCGCGGCCACGGCCTGCGCCCCTGGTCGCTCCTGAGCGTGTCCCAAGGTGACCGTGTCCTGTCTCCCCCATCCAGGTCTGTCACCTCGGGGAGGGCGAGGCATCCAGACAGTGGCTGCAGCAGGCTCAGAACTCCACAGCCACCCTGTGTCTGTCCCACATGCGGGCTGTGGCCAGCCTCACGCGGGCCCGACGCCCCGGCCTGACGCCCCTGGTGTGGGACGACATGCTGCGGGACGTCCCCGAGGACCAGCTGTCAGGTCAGCCCGAGGTCAGCCCGCCCGTCTGGGGGAGGGGGAGGGGCAGAGCTGTGGCTGATCCCGGTCTGCTGAGTGGGGGAGCGAGTGAAAAGGCCGCAGACAATCGGTCCCCATAGAACCGCTGCTTAAACTCCCTCACACAGAACGCCGCCATTCCCCCGAAAGGCGGTGAGGACCTTGCAGGGCTGCGGCAGGATGGGTCTGAATCGGGGGGGGGGGGGGGGAGTGAGGCCTCAAGGGGCCCTGGCTGCATCAAGGGTGGCAGCAGCCTCTCCAGTCCCCGGGCTCACCCTGCCTGGGTCTTTGGGACGAGACAGGAGGTTGGGGTGGTTACCCCGGCTCCGGCAGAGCTGGGGTTACCCCAGTCCCCCCTACCCAGACCGGTACCCACATGTGGCCACTCCGGTTTTGTTAGCATTCGTTACAACTCAGTCCACTTAGCAGCGTGTTCCCGGGCACCTGGGCCTGGCGGCGGGCGGACGGAGTGGTCCACCTGTGCGGGGGGCTCTGGACCCCTGGCTGGGCCGGAGTCCGGGAGACTGGTCGTTGTCGTGGCTGCTGGCTTCCAGGAAGTGAGAGCAGCACAGTGTGGAGTCTGTCCTGGAAAAGAGGGCGTGTGTTCCTTTTTGTGTGAGAACATGGGCAGAATGCCGGAGACGGCTCCGGCGGGCTCGGTGCTCACGGCCCCTCTCTGCCCCCAGCATCGGGGCTGCCGCAGCTGGTGGAGCCGGTGCTCTGGGACTACGGGGCCGACCTGGACGTCCGTGGCAAGGGTCAGTACCGCGTTGCCGGAGGAGACCCTGTCGCCCTGACGGCACAGCTGGGGGGATGCAGGGCCCCCGTCTCCCAGCCCATCGGAACCCGTGACTTGCCTCTGGTTCACTGCCCAGGGGCCCAGGCCCTCAGGGGGACGGCCTGTCCTGGTGGGCACGTGAACAGGGGCACGCGAACTGGGGCACCTGTGAGCGGCGGGGGCCTGCCCTCCCTGAGATGGGCACCCTCCAGGCCTCGTGGGTGTGGGCTGCCGTGGTTTCTGTCTGCACAGCGTGGAGTCGGGCCTCCCGGTTCAGGCTTGGTGGCCGCAGCCGCCTCAGGGCCCGGTCTCACCCGCTGCTCTCTTGCTCAGTGCTCCTCGTGGAAAAGTACCAGAAGTGCGGTTTCCCCCGGCTCTGGGCCGCCAGTGCCTTCAAGGGGGCCACGGGGCCGCACCAGACCCTGCCGCCCGTCGAGCACCACGTCCGGAACAACGTGCAGTGGCTGCAGGTGGCGGCCTGTGGGCCGGCGGACGTGTTCCAGGGCATCGTCCTGACCGGCTGGCAGAGGTGAGGCCGCCCAGCCCCCATCCTGGGAGGGGAAGCGGCTCCCGCGGCTGGGTCACATCGCCCTCCACTGCTTGAAGCCTGGGTCTGCGACCTTTCTCATTGGCAGGAGAGAAGGGCGGGTGCTCTGGGGACAGTGTGGGAGGCGTGTGGGGCTCTCACACCCTGTTAGTTGCCCCCACATCCTGCATGTCAGGGCCCCCGTGGACTCTGGTCTGCGTGCACGTCTGCAGTCTCCGTGAGGCCACTGCATGGGGCCCCTGCACAGTGGGAACCGGGACAGATGATGGCTCTTCGGGATTTCATACCACTTGGAAATCTGAGCTCGGAACTGACCGCTGTCCTGGCCAAGTCCTAGCTGCAGTCCTACCCTAGCATCCGGGGGAGGGGGAGGCCAGCTGGCCCCAGCACCAAGGGCAGCTGGAGGCAGGGCCTGCAAGGGGAGTTCCTCCTCCCTCGCTAGCAGAATTGTCGGAGTGGTGACCACGAAGCAATGGCCAGGCAGGGCTGTGTGCGTGGGGCTGGCACACCAGGGCGCTAAGGGCAAGCAGCCTGCTCTTCAGAAGCTGGGAGGCCCGCCATGGGGTGCAGGGGCTGGGGCGGAGGGGCAGGAGCTGAGCGCCTCCCCTGTGGACTCAGGTACGACCACTTCTCTGTGCTCTGCGAGCTGCTGCCTGCGGGGATCCCATCCCTGGCCGCCTGCCTGCAGTCGCTGCTACACGGTACGGTGCCCTGCTCTCCCGGGAGGCTGGTGGGGGGAGGGCAGGGGTCCCCCCAGGGCCCACGTCCTCTGGGTGGGACTGCAGTTCCTCAGCAGTTCAGGGTGGGGGGACGACACGGCCACCGAGGCTCGGTTACCTCCACCGGCTGCCAGCCCAGGTTTTCAAGCCTAAACCCAAGGCAGGCTGGGAAGTTAGGGAGCATACCCCCCAGACAGAGCGAGCCCTGGAAAGGAACCCATCTCACCTCGGACGAGGAAAGAGGTGCCACCTTGGCCCCCCACCTCCAGTGCCCCCACGGGAAGGAACCTGGGGACGGGTCCAGGGCAGCGCCCGGAGCAGCCAGTCGGCAGGGAGGGCTGGTCACAGCCGTGTGCATTTGACACCTCGGAGGGAGTCGGCACGAGGACACACGTTGGCACAGAAACACATCTGGGGACACAGTGGGGGGTGGGGCCGGCAGCAAACAAGCATCGGGAGGCACAGGCTGCCGGCAAGATGGCAGGAGGGGCCTGGGCGGGGTCGGCAGAGCACGTGCGGTGCTGGCTGAGCCTGGTGCCCAGGGCCATCCAGGTGGGTGCTGTCACCACGCCGACTGGGAGGCCTGTGCACACGGCACCCCTGCCTCACTGGTGTGTTTCCATTGCCCCCGGAGTCCGGGACCCCAGGGGGGAGGCCGTGCCTCAGCCCAGCAGTCTCCGGGCCGTGGTCCTGCCGGCCGTGCAGGTCTTAGTTCTTTTCTCTAATTTTTTATTTAACGAACACATTTTCATGTGTCTCATGAGAAGCAGCAGGGTCTCCTTGGGGTTGGCACGTGCCTGGCTGGCCTGGCCAGCAGCCCTCCCGGTCCGCTGCCCCCCACAGCCAGGGGGTCCAGGCCTCGTGGGCACCTGCAGAGGCCCCCTGAGCCCCCGTCTCCGGTTGGTTGCAGGGGGCTTTGCTGAAGAAGCTAGAGCAAGAGTGGAGAGTCTTCTCGGGACCCCAAGCCTGGAAATGACCAGTTTTGCGAGGTGACCTCCTGCCCCCAGCCCAATGCCCATCCCGGTTGGCCCCCAGCTCTGCCCCCCGATCCTGCTTGGCCGGTCTCAGTGCCTGGGTTCTCTGTGCAGTGAGGGGGCCGGCTCCTTCCCCGGCAGCGACATCCTGGCCCTCGTCACGCAGGTTGGCCTCCACCTGCGCGGCTCTGTGGACGAGATGCTGCAGAGGGACAGGTGAGTGAGGGCCCGCCCCGCCCCGCCCCGCCCCGCCCCAAAACTTCCCAGGGAGAAAACGACTTAAAAATCTCTGCCGGACTGTTGAAGTGTTTCAGAGGTGTTGTTTAAAACCACCCAAGGCTGCCTTGCCCCCTTCCCTGGGGCCCACCCGTGTGTGGGGGTTTGTCCACAGGTACGTGACGGGCTGGTTCAGCCCCTACCATCGCAGGCGGAAGCTCATCCACCCGGTCATGGTCCAGCACATCCAGCCCCAGGTGCTCAGGTAACCCACCCCTTGCACAGCACCTACCCCTGGGGCTGTGTGTCCTATGCCACATGGTGGCAGCTGTGGCCATCGCCTGTGACAGGCTTTCTAAGTATCACAAGTGACTCAGCCTCACTGAGTTGGCTGTCCCCCTGAACGTTAGGGAGCCCATGGTGGTCCTAGCCTAAAAAGGGGGTGACCAGAATTACCTGGGCAGGGTCCAGACCACCTGGGCCAGTCCTGGGGCCAGCACACCATGAGCTTGAGTCCTCCTGGCACCGGGGGGACAGGGTCCTGTTGGCCAGCCCTCCCCGGGGCACTCCCGGCTGGTCTGAGGCCAGTGCAGGTGCCCCACTGGGTGCGGGGTGTTGTGCACCACTGACAAGTGTGGGTGCTGGCAGCCCCGAGCAGAGGCACAGGGCTGCGCTGCTGCGCAGGGTCCTCACCAGGGCCCACCGCCGTCTGGGGCCCGCAGTCTCCTGGCCAGGTGGAGCGCTCTTGTGCGGGAGCTGGAGGCCGCCCTGCACCGCGTCTTCCACGAGGACGCCGTGGACGAGTGGCTGGAGGAGAACGTGCAGCCCGGCCTGGGGCAGCTGCAGGCGCTGCTGCAGGATCTTGGCGAGGCTGCCGGGCTCCAGGCACCGCTGACCAGCCCCGGCTCTGACACTGGCCAGGATCCCTGAGGGGGCCCATTGCGCCTGGCCTGCCACCAGGCAGGCAGTGCCCCCTGCACAGGGCTGTCACTGGGGAGGGGGAAGCAGAAGACGTGGAAGGAAACGCAGACCTGTTTACTGACTGGCACGAACTTTAATTCTTGTGAAATAAAGTGGAAAGTAGGGGTTGGAAGCTGTGCTACTGGGAGTATGACCGACCTCACTGGGCCCTGGCTGAGCCAGGCCTCCCACTGGCCCCCATGGAGGGTGGGACACCTCACAGCCTTGGCAGGAATGTACCAGAAGCAAACCAGTTACAACATTTTACTTTATTTTAGAAAAAAGCATCTCAGATTTGTGTGTTTGAAAACCTAACCTCTGGAGGTCTAAATGACCATGTTCCCATTCGAAGAGTGGGCTGGCTGGGCCCCGCTGAGGAGCGGGAGGGTGGCTGGAAACCGCCGTCTTTCCTGACGTCCAGGCGGCCTTGGCCCAGCTGGGGCGACCCCAAGGTGCTGCAGACTGTGCGCAGTTGACCGTGCTCTGAGGTGCTCTCTGGCCCCATTATGTGGGTGCAGCCCATATCCTGCCACGCATGGACAGACCCCAGGGTTGGAGAGATCCTGGGGTCTGACTTCCAGGGAGGAAGTCCTGGCTTTAAACACTGAGCAAAGCTGGAAGAAACCCTTCTCTCGTGGAGCGGCCTTGCCAGGGCTGAGGGTCCCCGCCCGTGACAGCCCAGTGCATCCTGGTTGGTTCCGAGATGAGCCAACTTGAGGGAGGAGTCTCTCTGCTGGGGAGGCCAGGTGGGCCCCTGCTACCCACGGGTGGGACCTCACTTCTGACCACCGAGGACGTCTGCCCAGGGGATGTGGTGTGGGGGGCCGGAAGTAATGCTGGGGTTCCTGGGGACTATGTGCCAGCTTCTGTGTCCACGGCCTGACCCAGCCACTGGGCCCACGCTCACCTGCCCAGCCGCACCCTGGGGAGCCTTCCCCTCTCAGAGGCCCCAGCCCCACAGCGCTGGTGGGCCGTGGGGTGTGTCTGTCTACTTGCTCTCCACGCTGCCCACCTGGGCCCACGCTCTCCCTGGGCACCTTGGAGCCACAGAGACGGTCTAGCCGGGGCTCTGCTCAGAGAGCTGCAGGAGTGGCCAAGGGTCCACACTGGGGCTGCCGGGGACACAGCTGGGTGACGAGGAGGAAGACTAGCCAGTGGCCCGTCAGGCCTGCTAAGGTGCCGTCAGGGCCGAGCCCAGGGGCTCCGTGGGGTCAGCTCTGGCCCCCGGGGACGTCGGCCTCACTGTCGCTACTCTGAGACAGCTCCCCAGGGCTCTCGAGGCGGTGCAGCTCCAGGAAGGCAGTGATGAGTTTGGCGATGGCTTCCACGTCACTGGGTCAGACGGGCACGGGGAGGAAGACTGGGTTACCACGATAGAGGTGCAGCCAGAAAGACAACACCAGTCCCACCCTGCACCTCCGCCACCCCCAGGGCTCCCCAGCAGGCCCTTCTGATCTGGCCCTCACCCTCACCTGACCCCAGCCCAGCCCTGTCCCCATGGGGACCCATGACATCCCCTGGCAGTGGGGGCAGGCCTCCCCATGGTTCCTTTCCCCCTGTGCCCCGCTATTCTGTTGCAAGGGCCACCTGACCGGCAAGGATGACTCTCCCAAGGCTCACCTGCGGCGGCCCATGACGGCGCTCTGGGTGAGGGGGTGGGAGAAGCCCGTGGCGGAGCGCAGCACCACCACGAAGCCCCGCCCGAAGTACCGCACCTTCTCCTCCTCCACGTTCACGTCCTGGATGTCGTGCAGCAGGACGACCACTGCAGTGGGCACAGGGCAGGGCAGCTCAGGGCAGCATCCCCCCACACTTGCCATGAAGCAGAAAGCACTGGTCAGTGTCACAGGCTGGACCTCAGAAGACAGCCAAGACCCTGACCTTGGATGTCACAGGTCAGTGACCACAGAGCATGGTCACGCATCTGCTGGGTGGAGGCCAGTCTAGGTGAGAAGGAACGTCCGGCGGACCCATCGTGGCCTGGAAAGGCCTGCTGTCCTCTCACGACCACCCTGCAGTGGCGGTGCCCATCCTGCTGCTGCTTCTCCCAGCTGCTGAAAATGCCGTCCTGGTCCCCATGGCTAGTCAACAACCCAGGGAGGCCTGGCAACACGCTTCAGGCCGGGACCTGTCCGGGCGGACCTCTTGGTAAGCCCATGTCCATCCAAGAGGTGGGACACAACCCTGAGTACCAAGCAGCCAGCCAGGACACAGCCTGTTTCCAGGCCCTGGGCCCGTCCCAGCTGTCACTCGGTCCTCGGTCCAGCCAGGAGGAGCCTGTGCCCTGGCCTGCCCTATGTCTCACCTTGGTCGTGGCCCGCTCTGAAGAGAGTGAGAAGCTTCTTGTACAAGCTGAACGTCTTCAGCACGACCTTCCCGGTGCCCTTGTCAAAGATGGCCTCCTGGAAAACCGGCCACAAGGTGGTCACAGGCTGCTGGCCTCGGTGTACAAGCTGACTGGGCACAGACCTCCAGGGAGGGGCCCGGGGCCCCCGACTTGCCTGCCCTCACCACAGCAGACCTCTTCCTTGCCCTCCTAGTTGGCATCCCTGACCCAACCCCCAAGTGCTGCTCCGCCAAAGCCAAACACTGCAGCCTGACCCCCAGGATCCTGGCAGGTGAGTGACCCAGGGGCAGGGCCTCTTTCCTCTTTACAAGCAAAAGTACAGGGCAAAGTCATCCAGTGTGGGGAGGGCAGTGGGGGTCAAAGGCCAGACAGCAGTCCAGGGCCAGGCAGCTCAGGACCAGCAAGAGGAAAGGGAGGGGGTGGTCACCAAGCGCGCAGAGGAGTGCACTTGCTCCTCACTTCACTCTGTACTGCGGAAACTCTGGGAAGGAAAGAATTTGGGTAAAAACCATCATGACAAGCCTCTAGGAGAAAAGCGGCTTCAGAAGAGTCCTTGGCCTAGGAGCAGTGACGGACAGGCAACACCCAGGGGCTGAGCCCCGGCACCTGGGAGCTGCCGCACTGACACCTCGGAGTGCGGCGTCAGGCCTGGTCCCCACTGCAGGGGCTGGGGCCCGGGCAGCCTCACCTCCCAGTCCTCCAGGTTCTGCACAGCCACGAACAGGCAGCCTGTGACGTAGAAGAGCTTCCATCCCAGGCTGTCTGGGGACAAACACAGGACACGCCAGGTGAGGGCAGCAGCAGAGGACCAAGGCTGCAGGATCGGCACCCGGGGGCCCTGCCTGTCATCAGCTCTGCCCTCACTGTCCCCTGGGTGTCACTCAAGACAGGTGGTTCCCAGCACAGTTAGTGGTGGGGTCAGGGGGGAAGGCTTACAGGGAACAGCTAAAAGTGCAGCTCCTCCTTCAACAGAACCTTAAGCAAATGCAAGAGAGAACCTTCCTGAAGAACATTTTCTTTTCTTTTACAGTCAAACTCAGTAGTGGGGGACAATTATGTTTGGCACAGGAAAATGCCCGAGATATAGGTGAGGTGGAGGCTGCACGGGACGTGAGCATGAGGGAGAATGTACAGCACCCAGAGGTGGGGCCACTTGGGAACCATTAGGAGCCAGAGGGACCTGTGCTCCCCAAGGCCAGGCCTCGGTGGACTGGAAATGATGGGCTCTCCTTCTTTTCTCTCCTTTCCAAAGAGCCGAGGAAGCTACTGGGAGCAGGCGCTGCACTCACCTCCACTGTAGTAGGCAGCGGCCAGGCCGATTGACAAGATTCCTGCAGACAGAAAGCAGGCACTTTGGTGTTGGGCCACCGCCAGCCGTGAGCCCGCCTCCTTCCCACTGCCACCGATGGCTGTGGGTGGGGGGCAGGGGAGAGAAGACCCCCGGGCTCAGGCCTGGGGGAACTTTGTTCAGAAGCATGGTCTGTACACCGGACATGTCCATCCACATGCAATCCAGAGCTGACTGGGAAGCACACGGAGGAGCCCCGTGTGGGTTTTACCCCAATAGTAAGTTCATGGTGCAGAATAAAGACGAGACTGCGTAAGGAATCACAACAGGATGTTGGAGGAGACACAGGGAGGCCACATGCAGGGTCACGAAAGAGGGACCAGAGACAGGCCATGGAGAGCACGGCGGCACCTCCTCACACCTGCGAACCAGTCACAGGTGCAGCTGCCCAGCAGGTGCAGGGACGGAAGCCAGGGCAGCCTCCACCACTTAAGGAAAAAAGGAACGCACCATCGCCCCTCACGTGGGCCTGAGCATAAATCAGACCTGCAGCCCGGTGTGCAAAAGCAAGGGGGAGCTTGGGGCATTCAGCAGAGCACGCAGCGTTAACTAAGCGCTCTTCAGTGGTGAAAAAGGCCAGGCAGGCACACAAGTGTAACAGCATGGACAGAGCATAGAACCCGGAAGAATACAAAGAAATAAAATAGTTCTGTATCTTGGAGAAGTAAATCAAAAGATGGAAAACTTAAGTTTCACCCTCATCCTTTTTCAAAGTTAGGGTTTTCAGCTGGGGGTCAATATGCAGACCCTTACCGACCAGCAGGGACCAGGACCGGATGCCTGGAGACCTCTTCAGATGGAGGCAGGAGCTGCTGCGCCTCTCCACCTGCATGTACATCCCAGGGCTGTGCAGGCACCACTCAATAGGAGACTGGGCTGGGAAGGGCAGACACATGGACAACTGGAGCTCAGTGGCCACTGCCCAGGCAGGTGCCAGCTCTCCAGGGCAGGGGGCCCGGCTGGCCCGCCAGCAAGGCCTGCACGGACTGGGGGACCGGTAGGCCTCCGATGACCACCGTCTTTCTGGTTCTGCATATCACCCTATACCCCAGGGACCTGTTTCCTCTGGAAAGATGGCCCTTCTCTGCTCAATTATACTGACTGCCACTGGGCTGCTCGCCCTGCTCCAAAAACCACCAACCGGCATTTGATCCTCACCTGCTCCATCTAACCCGGAAACTTTAGCCCCCCAGCCACCTTCAAGCTCCTGGGACCTCACCGGGTCCTAGCAGAACGCCCTGACGTCCCTGTGCGGGTCCCCGCCAAAAAAACGGAACAGCCTGTCTCGTGGTCTGAGTGCGCTCTGGCGTGGACGGAAGAAGCCAGCCGTGCAGCCTCCTTGGCTGCGGGAGGGAGAAGTGACCCTGCAGACGACCAAGCCTGCCGGGTCGAGTCAAATCCCTGAAACCGCGGGTGCTGTTCGCCCAGGAACGCTGCATCTGCGCTCGTCTCTGCCCTCCCCTGCCCGCATAGCGAGGTCGCCGGCCTGGGCGAGGGGAGCCGCCAGCGGCCTGACTCCTGCAGCCCCCGGACGCCTCCCGAGCCCACGCCCTGGAGAGTGGAGCCCGCAAGCCCCGCCGCCCCCCCCCCCCCGCCCGCGCCACCCGGACAGCAGCCATGGCCCCACACCTACCGAAAACGCCGACTGGTGGGCGGGGGCGCGGAGCGGGACCTGAGGCCGCGGCTGGGGCGGCTGACTTCCGGAGCTGTGGGCGGGGCCGCGCCGACTTCCGGGCCCGTGGGCTGGGGCCTCTGCATTAGGAAGTAGAAGGTGGTTACTGAAAGTTACCGTTGCGAGATGGCGGTGCAGCCTCTAAACGGCAGAATTTCGGTGGAGCTGAGGAAGGTAATGGACCAGGACAGCGCTGACTGCGCACCTCCCACTGAACCACCCCGACATCCCGGAATCGTCCTGGCGTCGGGGCAGAGAAGCGGAGCCGGCGGATGCGAGCGGAGAGCGGGGGTCTGCGCAGTGGCGGCCGCGGAGGCCCGGCCTGAGAACGACTGTCATTTACATCTCAGAAAGCCGTTTAAAAAGAAAAAAAATAGAAAGAACCTAAAGTTAATCTAACAACAGACGCATGAAATTTTATGGTAAAAAAAGGAAAAACTTGCCTCCCTATTTGCATCTGGGGGTAGCCTTTGCCTACCTCGGTGGTCTCCCAGGTGCGGAAGAAGGCAAGAGCTTATAGTCCTATTTATTTTTGCCTTTTAATATTTATTTTTGTTTTATAACTAACATAGGTTAATACAACCATGCATAATACTGCCTATAAAGAAACATACAAATATAGAAGTTTTACCAACATGGGCACACGGTACAAATTTTGGAGACATTTCTTTACCAGCCGACTTCAGATATTCCGCCCGTGGTTCCCAAACCTAACCCCGCACCGGCATCACCTAGTGGGCTTGTTAGAGCACTGCTGGATCCTGTTCCCAGACGCTAGTGGGGCCTGGAATGTTACGGGTTGCGGACACTTCTAGTCCAGGAACTGCTCTGAGAACCTCTGCCCGAAGCGGCAGCAAAACTGGGCTCTGCCTGAACAGCTAGGTTCCCTGACCTGGTGCCTCGGCGCACATCCCCTCTTCTTGAAAGGGCACTCTGTTAAGATCCATCATTGTCTTCAGGGTCCATGACTTGCTAACAAGCACCTCCTTTAAGCCCCTCCTGCTTGCTGCAGCTTAAAGGGGACGTGATTTTATTTCTCTGAATTAGGTAGAACTGAGTTGATACCCTGTAAATTGTACCTTTGCATCCCACCTTTCCTACTAGATTGTAAACCATTTAAAGATGATATTAAATGAGCGAACAAATGATAACCCAACTTAATGAAACTCTTACTGAAGACTGGTAACAGCAAAAGACTGGAAATGAATACAATCTCCTTAAGTAGCGGACGGAGTAAGTAAAATATGGTGCCAATTATCAACGATAGCTCAGCTCTAAATTCAAACTTCACTGCCTGCCCTGTGAAAATGAATCTGAGCCCGAGATTTTCCTGTGCTCTCAGGCGCGATGTTCAGCTTGGTCAGTAGAGGGTGCTGGGCTGCCGGGGTAGGACCTTTTCCTGGTTCTGGTGCGGCTGTGCTGAGTCCACAGGCTCCTTCAGCTCACAGGGCTTCTTCAGCGTCCAGCTCTCGCATTGCGTACTGGCCAGCAGCTCCCAGTGTCCCCTGGCACCCTCTTATGTGGTTTTGTGTGAAGGGTCTCCTGTGAGGCACCTGCGAAAAAGCTTTCCCAGCAGCCGGCCAGGAGGGTTTCCATTGAGTCCCACCAGGGCAGGGCCAAGTGGCCCCTCTGCTGACCAGGGAACCACAGCTCCTCTCCAGCAAGGTCCAGATCTCAGTTGGCCCTGGAGTACAGCGGCCTCCTTCATCTCCTGGGGGCAGGGGTTGCCTTGTTTCTTGCCATTCTTACATTCTTTATACCGATTTACTTCATATTGGCCTCCTTGCTCTACTCCCTAGATAATAATTTATTATATTAAGCCCTCTCTGTTCAAAGTACTGTGTGCTTTCTCCCTCCTGATTGGACCCTGTTAAATACATATATCCACATGACGGAGCACGGTGCATCTGTTGGAAAAGGGAATGAGGGATACCTGTGTTAGTATGGAGAACTCTCCAGCATATACTGTATTGCTGAGTGACAAGAGTAAGGTGGCATAAAGTGTATCAATATCCCACAGTTAAAAAGGAGGTTACAACCCTGGCTGGTGTGACTTAATGGATTGAGCACTGGCCTGGTAACCAAAAGGTTGCTGGTTGATTCCCAGTCAGGCCACATGCCTGGGTTGCAGGCAAGGTCCCCAGTGGGGGGGGGGCACATGAGAGGCAACCACACATTGATGTTCCTCTCCTTTCTCCCTCCCCCTCTCTCTGAAAATAAATAATACAGTCTCTTAAAAAAAGGTTACAGGATGCAAATAAATGTGTATATTGAAACACACAGACTGTGGCATTTTGGCAATGGGCCCTGGGTTTGTCAGCACTGTCAGTCTGGTACCTTCTGTGCGTGTGATGGGAAAACGCAGATGAGTGTTTTATGGAGGAGCCACTGGAAACCTGGACTTCGAGGCTGAGAGAAAGAGGCCACAGCCAAGATCCATGAGGTTCATACCTGTGAGCCCTGTACCCCTGGGGTCGGACGAGAAGGATCAGCGGGAATTCATATTTTATCTTTAAAAATACGTGTCTCCTGGTGCTATCCGCTGAAAAGTCCTAGAAACAATGACCCATCCAGTAGCAATGAGCTAGTGCCCATTCTGTGGTTTCCAATACCAATTCCTACTAAAGGAACCAGGCTTCTCATAGAAAAGGCTGAATTCAGCAAAAATGAACAAGGAATTCTATCAAAAGCAGAGACTAATTAGCGTCTCGTCAGAAGAACTTCAGAACCTAACTGAAAAGATTCTCATTGCCAAAAAAAAAGACAAACTATTTGAACATGAGTAAGAATAGTTCAAATGAATTGAAAGTACCCACATATTTAAATCTGCAATTCATTGTGGTATATTTTTAAATTCTTTGTTCACTTTTGGAGCATGCTGAGAAACGAACTCTGATTTTTTGACAGTTAATGAAGGAAAAGAATAAAGCATTTATCCTGCCTGTGTAAAATGTACAAAAGTAAATAATGGGTGAGAAGAATTTGTCATTGTAAAAGCATTCCCCCCATTAAGACAAGAAATGGCTCTGGCTGGTGTGGCTCAGTGGATTGAACGCTGGCCCGGGAACCGAAAGATCTCTGATTCCATTCTGTCGGTTCACGAGCCTGGGTTGGAGAGGTCCCCAGGTGGGGTCATGAGAGAGGCAACCAATGGATGTATCTCTTGCACAAGGATGTTTCTCTCCATCTTTCTGCTTTCCTTCCCCTCTCTCTAAAAATAAATAAATAAAATCCTTAGGGAGGGAGAAAGAGAGGGATAGAAACATCAATGTGTGATTGCCTCTTGCACACCCCCTACTGGGGATCTGGCCTGCAACCCAGGTATGTGCTCTGACTGGGAATCGAACTGGCGACTCTGGTTCATAAGCTGGCACTCCATCCACTGAGCCATGCCAGCCAGGACTAAAACCTTTTAAAATATAAGATAAATGGTAGGGTTAAAACACCATCCTAATGAACGAGTGGATGGATGGATTGATGGATCTAGGTAAGCTCATCATATAGCTGGTAATTAACACTAACAATGACATAGTAGAACATCCTGATGAAATTACACAACATCTATAAAGTATTCTTGCCAAAAAAACTTAAGCTGTGATCAAACCACTAGAATGTTGTAATTATTACCCTTTACTGGAAATACAGGGGACAAAGGTAAGAAAAGGACCCACCAGGATGCAGCCAGCACCTGGGAGAAACCCTACAGGTGAACAACCTGATTTCTCGGATGGAAACTACGCATTTAAAACAAAACAAAAAACACCACCAACAACCGTTAAGTGAGTCTCAAGTTATTTCAGCGCAAGAAGGTTTTTCTTTTTAAAGGTTTTATTGATCTATTTTAGAGAGACAGGAAGAAAGGGAGAAACAGAGGGAGGGAAACGCCGATTGGATACCTCTTGCACGTGCCCCCACCAGGGATGGAACCCAAAACCCAGGCAGGTGTCGGGATGGGAAATTGAACCCTCAGCGACCTTTCACTTTTCAGGACAATGCTCAACCCACTGAGCCACATTGCTCAGGGCACAAAAAGTTGGGTTTTTTTTTTTGAAGGGTGACATAAGAAACACACAAACCAATTGTAATATAGACTATCAGAACCTACCGGACCTTATTTAGATTCCAATTTAAATTAAGGAGGAGTAGATAATTGGGGAACTCTATAACTACATTTTTAATGAAATTAAGCGACTGTAATTTGCTTTTTTCACACAATAATGGTATTGTTTGTAAAACATCAACAAAATACATACAAATGACTCCCTAAAATTATCCATTTATTATGCTGAAAATGGAAGATGCTTTCTGAGAGGTGCTGTCATGGATTTGAGCGATGTAGAACATCAATTTGGCGGCCGGTTAAGACCTCAATTCAACTAATGCATTTATAAAAAGCAATATGAGACAAAGTTCTATAAATAAAGTTAACGAGGAAACTTTCCAAAACCCTAGTGAGGTTTCTGGGACCTGGAACAGCTTGAGCATGTGACGATTGCGAGATCCTGGGATTCCTGGGGGTTGCTGGTGTTGGACAGACATCCACAACGTGCTGTTGTTCTTCCTCTCCTCCGAATTCTCCTGGCAAGTTCTCATTTCTGATTGTGCTGTATGATATGCACTGGCTTTATGAAACTTTACCCTGAACAAAGTTCAACATTTCCATTTAGCCCTTCACGTGGTACCATGACTTGTTGGAACAATATTCTCTGCAAAGCATAAGGGTCGAGTCGCCTGGTAGGAGGAAGTGGCCCGACCGTACGGGCAGCCTACGCTTCACACCTCGTGTTCCCGCCGACCGCGTGCGCCCGGGTCCCACCGCGCGTGCGCACTGTAGACTCGCCAGTCCTACGTGCGGCGCTTCGGGGCCGCAATGGCGGCAGGCCGGAGCCGCCCCTCCGCCCCTCCCCGCCAGGGCTGCGCAGTCTCGGCCGGGCATGCGCCCGAAGAGCGGTGCGCATCCGGCGCCGAGCTGACGGTCCCGTGCGCCCCGGAACGAGGCCAGCTCGTCTTCTCGGGACCGTCGGCAGCTCGCTCGGCACCTCCGCGTTGTCCGAGAGGGTCGGGCCGCGCTCCGCCCCCGCGCGCTCTGATTGGCTGTGAGGCCCGGCCCCAGCGCTCTCATTGGCCGCGCGGAGCCGTGGGGTGGGACTGAGCCGGGGGCGACAGCAACAAAGGGCGGAGGGAGGCCGGCGGCAGTGACCGTGTTTCCCGGTGCTTCTCTCAGGTCACTCGCGCCGGCCCTGCCTGCCCTGCTCCAGATGAAGTGTGAGCACTGCACGCGGAAGGTGGGCCCCGCGCGTCGGTGCGGCCAGGGTCCGGGTCAGCGGTCGAGGTCAGGCTTCGGGGCTGCTCGCTGACAGCGTCCCCTTGCCGCCTGGGACGGCGCGGGGTCCGATGTGGTGCGCGCCTCGTGGGGTCGGTGGGACGGACCCCGCCGCCGGCGCTGCGCCGCCGCCAGGGCGCCTTTCCCGGGACCTCGCGGCGCGTGCTCGGCGCTGGTTCTCCGCGCGCAGACCCGGCCTTCCCAGTGGTTGGAAACCGAAACCCGCGGAGAAGCCGACTGACCGCTGCCCCGCAGGCAGTCCGAGCGCAGCCCGTTCTGGGGGAGAACAGTCGGTGCAGTGTTTCCGGGGGTTTTAACTTTCCTATACCGAAGTGGTCAGGGCGACGGGATGGTGCGGGCGTGCGGTCCTCCCGCCACCTGTGTAGCCAGGTGACATATAGCGGCCTCCGCTTCGGAGTCCGGGCTGAGGACGCGAGTTGACTGCGCAGGGCGGTGGGGGCGGGGGGGGGTGTATTTCCAAAATCGAGTCACTTCCTACGCGTTATTCCATCAGGTGCTCTTTTTTAACCTAACATCACACAGGAAACGGCTCTCCAGAGCGGGACGGGGCCTCCGGGTTCACCGTGTCCTCAGAGCACCTGCGTCCAGTCGCTGGGCGCGGACTCACCTGTGGGTGGGAGGCACGCGGCTTCCAGGGTCCCCTGCCCGCGCCGCAGGGTGCGGGTGGGCGTGGCCACGTGTGCAGGTGCTACTCTTTCCCGAGAGCAGCTTTCTGCTCAGGAGATGAACGGAGCACTGAGTGTGCAGGTCAAAGTTTCTTCACACATGCCTTTGCCTTTTCAAGGAATGTAGTAAAAAAACAAAAACCGATGACCCGGAGAATGCCTCAGTCGGCGCGCCGAGTCCGGCCCAGGACCGTGGAGAGGCAAGTGGGCGTTTCCATTTCTTATCGGCGGGAGGGACCAGCAGCCGCTGGTTTTCTTCTGGGGGGGGGGGGGGTGTTGAGGGGGGGCGGGACTCCTGTCACTTCGCTCCTCTTTGCTGTAAGGCAGGATGTCAAATTCATTTCCACCGGGGGCCACATGAGCCTCGCGGTTGCCTTCAAAGGGCCAAAATAATTTTAGGACTGTATAAATGTAACTTCTGCTTAATTGTTAAGGAGTTGAATTACATTCAATCCTTTGAAGGCAACCATGAGGCTCATGTGGGCCCCCCCCGACTCCCGCCCGTTGAAAATGAATTTGACGCTCCTGCTCTAAGGAAAATGGAGAAATGAGGGCTTAAGCGGTGCCGCTGGGTCTGTAAGTGTGTTTTCTGATGGTCTCTCTGCTGACTCAGCGCCGGAGGTTTTGAACCCTGGCTGGCTCACTGGCAGAGATGGCTTTCAAGCCCCTGGCGAGCTGGCTCTGTGTCTGCCCACAGTCTCGCCTCCAGGGAAGCTCCGCTGCTTTCCCCAGTGCAGTTTGGGGAGGCCAGGGTGGTCCTGCCCTCAGAGCCCAGCAGCAGCTCATGAATGGGGATTTGCCACGCTGAGAACCAAGGACTGGTTTTCTCTGCAGTTCAGAGTCCGGACGGCATGTTTAGTCTGACAGGTGCTGGCCTGGTCCCTCTTGCACCCGTGCTGCCCTGCTTTCCATCCACATACCGACCTCGCACACGCCAGGGTGAGACAGGCGCTCGGGCAGAAGAGAGCAGGCACTGCCACCCGAGCCCCAAGCCCTGGGCCTGGGGCTTCTCACACCACCCTCTGGCTGTGAGTCACCTAGGACAGACATCTAACCCGAGAGCCCCAGTGTCCTTATCGTGACACAGGGAGTTGGGTTACGTCCCCTCCCCCGGCTGTGGTGATGGCGAGATAACGTGTGCACACAGTCCAGGCAGGTGCCCCGCCAGCTCAGTGTGTGGACACCCCATTAGGCTGGGCCCACCAGGGAAGGGGCAACTGGAGTGGGCCCCGGGGTGGTGAGAGCTAAGGGGCGAGTAGGGGTGGGGCATGAGCCCACCAGGCCCAGAGAAGGAGTGGACAGAAGTGGTCTGCAGAGGGTGCTGGGAGCCACTGAGGCTGGCTGTGTGTTGTAGGACAGGTGGCCAAGGGCAGCTTCAGTTGCTGGGGCAGGGGAGTGGCAAAGGACACCACGTTGGGGACAGGGCAGTGGGGCCTGGGTGGGCCCACCATGGAGAAGCCGGAAGGGGCCGAGGGTGGACGGCAGCGTTTGTAGCCTGGGCATCCGGGTGAGAGGAGTCCCTATTAGTGAGGGTGGCCTGAGGGCCCTGGTGCTCTCAGAGTGCCAGAGATGGCAGTGAGCTGTGGCAGTTCAGAGCTCCCCTGGATGCCACCGGCTGAGTGAACTCTCTGGGGCGTGTTCAGGAGCCCCCAGAGGCAGCAGAGGAGGGGCTGTAGGGAGGAGAGGGTCCAGGCCAGCCCCTAGGACACAAGAGTGCTGCTTTCCTCCTGCCACATGATGGTGCTGGCCTTGTCATCCGTGAGACTCTCTGGTGTCTATTACTGTGGCTGTGTCCTCCAGCCACTGGAGCGCCAGGCCGCCGTCTCAGGTGTTTGGTGTTGGTGTTGTGCACTGTGCCTGTGCTGCTCTCTCCCTGGGAGCCACGTACTAAAGAACCAGCCAAAACAGCGTCTTTCTTTCCTAGAAGGGGGAGTTCCATAAGTTGGCTGATGCCAAGATATTTCTGAGTGACTGCCTGGCATGTGACAGCTGTGTGACCACAGAGGAAGGAGTCCAAGTTTCCCAGCAGAACGCCAGGGACTTCTTCCGAGTTCTGAACCTTAATAAGGTACGGCGTCCTGGCGCACCCTGGCAGCCTGGCCTGGAGGAGACGGGTGGAGGTCAAGGGGGGACACGGAAGCCTCTGCCTCGGATGTGGTGCATGCAGCTGGGCCCTGGCCCCGAGTCTCCTGCTTCAGTCAACCCTCTCCAGAGCCCCACCCCACAAGAATGACATCACATGGCCCGGGGTCACGCTTGCTCCCTCACTGACTTGGGCAATGGCTGGGACCCTGACCGGGCTCCCTGGGCTTGGGGGAGGCCTCTGCCATGCAAGGTAGTGCAGTGGTAGCGTGACCTGGTCACGGGATCTTTGGTGGCTGAACTGATGCTGTTCTCCCTCCAGGGTGTTCTCGGAGGTCAGGGTTGTGTCCCAAGGGGCTCGTCAGGCTGGGGCAAGTCCTTGCAGCCTCCTGTACCGAGCTGCCCTGGTATCACTGGGCTTCCAGTGGTGGCCTTCTTGCCAGGACGACGGGGGAGAGGGAAAGCAAGGAGAGACTAGGCCTGTGCACTGAAAGGCCCAGTTTGTCCCCGTCCCCCCACAGTCACAGGGAGAGTCCCCTGCCCCACTGTGCAGGCGCCAGGAGCCCTGGGTGCCGTCCAGGGGGTGGTGGTCGCACTGGAGCCGCATCGATCCTTGGTCCGTCTGGGGGGCTGTGCTCCACCTTGTGGGGCTTTGTCATCCACACGTGCGCTGCCTGTTGCTTGTGCTGCTCCTGACCTTCTGTGAAGGGCTGCAGCCTTCAGCACGGTGTGTCAGGTCCCCCACTCCCCACACCTGTGATTTGTTTCTGAGCGGGTGGGGCTCCATCGTTGCTCTGTTACGCAGTTCACTCCGACACCCTGTAAAGTCACTCACTGCTGGTGTGTCGGAAAGTGATTTCCATGTCTGCTTTGTGTGTGGCTATTTTGTGGACGTAATATTCTCCCAGTCATCTGGATTGTCTTAGTTTTTCTGCTTATTGGCTACAATGAATGAATTTCATCTCTTCCAATCCATAGACTTCTCGTATCTCTTTTTCTGATTATGTTGTCTAAGTTCTTTAACTCCACCTCAAAACAGCAGTGGTGATAAAGGGGGGACCTGGGGTGCGTTGAGTCAGCCCCTCAGGGCGCCGTCAGAGACAGCAGTTTCCACCTCCCTGTTCCTCTGGGCTCCAGGCTCAGGCCGATCCCCCCCTGGTCATAGCGTGGCTCCCTCCTCAGAAGAGGGGACATTTGAGTGAGAATGAAGTGCGAGCCCTGGAGACGCCCCGGGCAGGGCATTGGGCGGAGGGGCAGGGGGCTCCAGCCTTGCTCCTTAAAAGTGGCCACTGACCGGCCTGGGAGACAGGCCTCTGGGAGCCACTCAGAGAGAGAGAGGGAGGGAGGGAGGGAGGGAGGGAGGGAGGGAGGGAGTGTGTCTGTGTGTTTACTGTCATTGAGTCGTTCCATTTACTTCTGGACCAGTATTGCAGTTTGTTTTTCTTTAAAATCATTTTTCTCCAGATACTTGCATTTATCAGTATGATACTTCTCTTAAAATTGGCTAAATGTCTTGGGATGTCCCATGTTTTCATTGTAACTTTTCTTCTCCTTTACTAGTCTTTGTGCAGACCACTCATTTCGCCCTGTCTTCTCTGGGTCTCACTGAGCTGTCTCCCTGTCACTCCTTGTGAAATCGCTGCACAGGTGACGTTCTGCTCTGCTTCTTCTAGAAATGTGATACCTCAAAGCACAAGGTGCTGGCCGTGTCAGTGTGTCCTCAGTCTCTGCCTTATTTTGCTGCTAAACTCGGCCTGAGCGTCACTGATGCATCCAGAAGACTCTGTGGCTTCCTCAAAAGTCTGGGTGAGGCACCTTTGGGCACCGTTGAGAGTCCCCACGCTTGTAACTGCCCGCTGAGATCTGGGGTTCACTTCTCAAGGGTGCAGGACAGGGAGGGGAGGACTTGCCTCTGACTCCTGGTGGGCGGTTGTTGCTCACCCCCTTGCTGTATTACTGCCGGGCTGGCCCCTCTGGGAGTGGCAAGGGACCGTCTCCAGACAGGGTGGCTGGGGGACACCTGGGAGGTCTCACACTCGGCAGTCAGCGTCGTGTTGCCCTGGCTCATGGGAGCCACGGAGGCGTTTGTGGGGTGCCGGGTGACACTGCAGTGGCTGGCGTCCCATTTCCCTGGAACCCCTAAAGAGCGGGGGGGGGGCAGCCACCACAGAGCACAGCAGGGACTCAGATGTGGGTGAGCACAGGGTGACGCCGGCCCCACCGAGGCAGAGCGCTCCTGCGTTGTCCGCCGACGCCAGGCCGGCACTGCCCCTGCTCCCGGTGGGGCTTCATGGGCCCGGCCAGCGAGAGGCTGGCACGGGAGGGAGAACCTGAGCCATTTGCCAGATAGCAGTTCTCACTGTTCCACGAGACGTAACTACACGGGGACTAACGGTAAAGTCAGATGACACGTGGCATAAACACGAGGGGCCGCCTGCCAGCCTCGCTGCTTCTTGGCGCAGAGCAGGTCCCGGGTGCACAGCGCCACCAGGGCGAGGCGCCGCTCCTCCTGCCTCTGCCCCACACGGCCCGCGGTCAGCGCAGTCCCGCCGGAGACCGGGTCACTGGGCGACGTGCTGCCACAGCGGTGGCGTGTGGGGGCCTCAGTAATGAAACCATGTTCACAGGGAGATTGGTTTCTACAGGCGATTCTTTAAGACGACGCTTAGCGTTTCTTTTTAAAGATAACTGGCTGCTTTTAAATTTTATATATTTTTAAAGATTTTATATTTATAGAGGGGAAGGAAGGGAAAGAAACATCAATCAGTTGCCTCTGGCACGTCCTCAACGGGAGACCTGGCCCACAACCCGGGCCTGCACCCTGACAGGGAAGGGAATTGAACCAGCGACCCCTGGGTTCACAGACCGGCACTCAGTCCACTGAGCCACACCAGCCAGGGTGGCTGCTTTTAAGATTCAAACTGGCTGTAGATATTAATGTGAACTGCTTAGTGTGTTTTCAGTAATTATAATAAAGTAAATGACTTTATTTCAAGTTTAGTTACCAATATTAAAATTTATAAAGAAAAATAAAGCAACATAAAATTAAGATCTTCATAAAGATGTGCTCAGCCAATTTACTCATTTTAAAGATGTCAAGGATCATTACGGACTGAAATTTGGTGTGTACAGTGAATTGGGAGAGAAGCTGCTAGTAACTTTCAATAGTCCGTTAATTTACATATGGAGGTGCTTACGTAAATATAGACTTAGAGAGAAAAGCAAGAAGCAGAAGAGAGATTGTAGGTATTTTGTCGTCAAAATGTGTGCTATTCTTTAAAAAGTGCGGGGCCCAGTCCTGCACTCCCGCGGTCCCTGGGGGGAGCCCGGAGCCAGCCGGGGAGGAGGGCCTCGGCGCGTCCCAGCGGGGGGAGGGGCCCCGGCCCGGCTGCGGGGCTGAGCCGATTCCCTGCAGGGGTGCGCTATGTCTTCGACATGGCGGTGGCCGTGGATCTCAGCATCCTGGAGAGCCAGAAGGAGTTCGTGCGCCGGTACCACCAGCACAGCGAGGAGGAGCCCACGCTGCCCATGCTGACCTCCGCCTGTCCCGGTGAGCGCCCAGGGTCCGCGTGGGTGGCCCCAGGACTGGGGGGCATGAGGAGTCTGGCCTGATGGCCCATTTTTGTCTGCTGCCACACTCGTTCTGGTAGGGGCGTGCGGGGTGGGGGGTCCCTGACACCTGACTGTAAACATCTTATTTTCATTTTCCCCCGTTTCTAAAGTTTCTGAGGAACATATGTATGAAGAAAAGCGAATCTATTTTCTCTTAAAAGTATGACATATTTCAGACATCCAAATAATTATAGATAACACAGCCAATACTCATCCACCCTTTGCCAGCTTACATACAACTTACAGAATAAGAAGTGTCTTCACACTGAAACGGAGGTCTCATCGGGACCCCTTTTTAGACCAGACTTAAATTGACATCTGAGGCATAGAGACGATTCGTCACAGGCTTTTTAACTCCGGGGAAGGGAGTTCTGCAACAGTGAAACGTTCGAAGGTGGCGCGTGAGTGGAGAAGGAAGAAAGTGCCGTGGGGTGACGGCAGGTGGTGAGGACTCGGTTCGAGCCCCGCCCGGGGAAGCCGCTGGCGCCGGCCCGGCTGGTGGTGGACAACTCCAGCGTTAGGGTTTCGCTCACGTGTCTATTCTTAGTTTACCCTCCTTCCCGCCACCGTGGCTCTGGAGTTTTCTACCATTTCACACGTCACTGTTAGTCATTTGGGTCATGCTTTACTAACAGAGAGTGTTGACAGTATGGTTACTTAGAGTTTGAAATAATTCCCACCCACCTACAAAACCAAGCAGAGGAGATCCACCATCGGTCCCCGTGGCCACGCGGGTTGACCAGCCCAGCCTGGCGGGATGCGCTCTGGTTCAGATGGGGCTGCTTTCTGCTGTCTGGTTTGTTTCGGAAAAGTTACTCCCAGGCGATGCTCCCGCATCCCCTGGGCCTGTCTGTAGGGTCAGCAGGGTCACATGATGCTTCTCCAAGAACTGGTCAGGCCCTGGTGACGGGGGCGAGCTGTAGCTCTTCAGTGGCTCTGTGGTTGGCTGATCACTCCGTGTCCCCCCAGGGGGTGCGGCAGGAGCCATCCACTCAGGCTCTGTGGCCCTTTCTGTAAGAACAACTTTGTGGCTGTGTGGCGTCACCGCATCCGTGCAGCCCCGGGGCTGCCTCGTAGCTGCTCCAAGTGTGTTCTCGTCTGGGGGACCAGTTGTGTCTTCCACTCTGTCCTCTGGCCTAGCCCTCCAGGGTCAGGCACAGGCCCCTGGGGCCCTGTGTCCCTAGCTGCTGGGAGGCGGCAGCCTCAGGGACAGTTCTGTCACACATTTCTGGTGAGGTTTGAAGAAGAGGTGTCAGCTTTACCCCTGGTGGGGACACGGTCTGGGGAGCTCAGACTCCCTGGTGTGTGGCGGGGAGGAGGAGGACCAGCTGCGAGGAGCCCTGGTCTCTCCCCAGGCTGGGTGCGGTATGCGGAGCGGGTGCTGGGCCACCCCGTCACACCCTACCTGTGCACCGCCAAGTCTCCCCAGCAGGTCATGGGCTCACTGGTGAAGGACTACTTCGCCAGACGGCAGGTAAGCCGACATCTTTCCCTGGGCAGCACAGGCCTGGGTACGGGATTGCCCGGGGGGCTGGCAACAATGGGAGCTGAGGCGAGTGAGGGAGGCAGGGGGGGGGGGCCTGGAGCTGCTGCTGGGCGGGAAGTGGAGCAAGAACTGGTCTGTGGAAGACAGGACTCAACCCGGGGCAGCTGGGCACCGAGGAGGCAGCCAGGCCGGGTGGCAGATGGGTGTGCTCTTCGCCACCGCCCTGGGTACAGTTTGCTGTCTCCACAGAACCTGTCCCCAGACAAGATCTACCACGTCATCGTGGCCCCGTGCTATGACAAGAAATTGGAGGCCCTTCGAGAAGATGTTCCCACAGCTTCACATGGTTCCCGGGGCGCTGACTGCGTGTTAACCTCAGGTGAGAGGTGGGTGGGGCTGGGTGAGCACTGTGGGGGCCTCCAGCCAGTCACCCTCTGAGGTCACCGACAGGACCCCAGGACAGTGAAGAGGGCAGCGCTCCTGCTGCCAGCACCTGCCCCTGGAGGCTTCTGACAGCCACACCTTCCCTGGGGGCACAGGTGAAACTTCCTTCATCTGAGAGCAGGAAACTCAGGTGCCCCAGGGGCGGCACTGCTGCTTCTGCAGGGCTCTGTGCCCGTGGAAACGGGTGTTCAGAGCCGTTCACAGAGCCCGCGCCTGCCGAGGGGCAGCTTGAGACGGGGGCAGCCTGCAGGGGCGGAGGCTCCCTCCCTGGGTCCCCTGCCTGGAACTCTGGCCCATGGACGCCCCTGGAAAGGCCTCCCCTGTGCAGGCTCCTGTGGGGCCCTGGGGCGGGAGGGGCCGCTGCCGCCTCTGCTTCCCTGAGACTGTGCTTCTATAGGAAGCACGTTCCACCGCGTCTCTCCCGAGAGCAGAAGCAGGTGTGCTCCGTCACCTGCTGGTGCACACCTGGAGTCACAGGCCCTGATCTGGAGCCTTCGCGCCGAGGGGCGTCCGCAGGTGGGAGTGGTTTTCAGGTGGCCTTGTCCTGGGTGACAGCACGTCCTGTGACGGAGCCCGTGTGGGGTCGGTGGTCCCGCCCACATGAGGCCGTCCCAGAGCTTCCTGCGGGGGAGGCAGAGCTGCAGGGATTGTTTGCGAAGATCTCTTACTTCAGGAGCAGAAACACTTTATTAGCCTTTTTCGTCCTATCGGTGTTGTGTCGCCATCCGAGACAGCCAACATCCAAGGTCACCTTAACTCAGGGTTCCTTTCCCCGTGGCTCTAGAGGACGTCGGCTTCCACTGGGGCCTGATGCCTCTCGTTTGTCTGCAGGGGAAGTCGTGCAGATGATGGAGCAAAGCGATCTCTCCGAGAAAGACGCTGCCGTGGACACTCTGTGAGTGGCTTTGCAGGGAGGGTCATCTCGTGGGGCCTCCTGTGTGATTTCTGGTGGCCACTTGTCTCAGGGCCTCCCTACTTTACAGTGAGGTCACGTACGTGCTGTGGGCGGTGTGGGGAGCCACTGCCCATGTTGCCACCGGTCCCCACTAGGACCCTCGGCCATCTTTCTGCGCTCAGCGAACCAAACGCGGACCCTGGTGTGGGACCCCCCCTTGCCCGGGCCTGACTCGGTAGTCATCTCCGTGGTCGGTTGCACTTCAGCACTGTCCGCTTCCCAGCTGCATCTGTTATTGCCCTGCCGCGGCTGCACCTGCCCAGGCGGTTGCCTCTGGGGAAGCAGCAGGTTCCTCGGGCCCCTTTATACCTGCAACTGCAGGCTGCGCTTTTGTGGTCAGTGGTGACCTTAACCGATGACCAGCACTCCTGCCGTGTCCTGGGCCCTGGGCACTGTGTGGAGCGCACACCAGGACTGTGTGTGGCCTGTGTGGGAGGCTGGACTGAGGTTCACAGAGTGGAAGCAACTCTAGTCCCCGTGGCCATGGCCTGCACTTGAGCCAAGCTGACCGCAAAGCCTTGTCCCAGCTGGAGCTCTGACAGGCGTGCTCTTGAGTCAGCTTCCAAGTCCCAGTGCTTGCCCCCGGGCCACTGGTTCTGTGCGGTGCCCTGATGCTCATGCGGCAGAGAGGAGTTTTGATCCCTGCAGGCGCAGACAGGCACAGGCCACATTTCACCTGCAGAGCTCACTTTTCCTGGGGCCACCTGGGGTCAAAACTGTGGGAGTCCGATTTAATTCTTGTCGCTTCTCTGCCTGATGAGGTTTGGAGACCAGGAGGAGGAGGTGAGGCGCCATGACAGCGCCAGCTCCGATGGGCACCTAGCGCATGTCTTCAGGCACGCGGCCAAGGAGCTGTTCAACGAAGACGTGGGGGAGGTCACCTACCGCACCCTCAGGTGCGTGCGCGGCCAGCGCGGTCTCAGGGCACATGTGTGCGTGCTGGGGGCCAGGCTGCTCTGCTCACAGAGCCCGCCCCAGTCGGGACCGAGAGGGTTTGTGTGTTACGTGCAGACTTTCCACTTTGCTGACCCCCAGACGTGGACTGGAAGGGCCTTCCCGCTGCCGGAGGAGGACACAGCAGAGCAGCCCCCTCTGTTCATTTTGCAGGAACAAGGACTTCCAGGAGGTCACCCTCGAGAAGAGCGGGGAGGTTCTGCTGCGCTTTGCTGCTGCGTACGGCTTTCGAAACCTCCAGAATGTGGTCCTGAAGCTGAAGAAGGGCAGACTCCCATTCCACTTCGTGGAGGTCCTCGCCTGCGCTGGGGGTAGGGCCCCCACTCCCCCACAGTCCCTGGGGAAGAGGGCCTCTCCGTGCCTGCCCGGAGCTTCACTCAGCTTCGAGGGCACACAGACATCGCCCAGGTGGTTGCGACACGACTGGCCCTCCCATTTCCTCACACCCACCCTGTGAGGGAAGAGCAGGCACCCAGATGTCACCTTGGAAAACTCCCTTGGTTCTAGGGGTCCCAGAGAAGAGTCTTTCTGGTAGCACTTGGGGAGAGCCAGCTTGGCTCCAGGGGCTGGTGGAGAGAGAGTCAGGGCGCATGGGGCCTGGGGCTGGCCCTAGGGTACCCCCACCTCCTCTAGCCAGGTTCTGTCCCACAGGAGACATGGGTGGGGTGGGGTCCCTCGGAAGGACTCACCAGCGGAGTCGGTGTGGGTGTTGGGGAGGAGGGGAGCCTGTGGCCACTGGTGGTCCAGGCCCCTGGGTGCTGACGGAGCCCACTCGGAGGAGGGTCGGGGGTGTCTGCCGTTCTGAGTGAGGGCACCCGCAGGTGCTCAGCTGGAAACCCCAGGTGGGCAGTTGCAGGTGTGACACAAGCTGGAGGAGAGGAGGCCCGGGTGGACAGTGCAGACAGGAGACACAGGATGGGGGTGGAGAAGCCACAAGCATTCGTGGGGGGTGGGGGCTAGTGAGGGACGCTGAGCGCAGAGAAGCGAGCGCCGGCCTTGGGGCGCCCAGCAGCCTCAGCAGCTGTGCTCCGGGGCCCAGGGCACAGCCTGAGTGGAGTGAACAGGCAGCTGGTGAAACGCTGAGGGGTCCACGCAGGGCCTGCAGGGGGACATCCAGCACCTGCGCTCACCGGTGCCCTGTAGTTAGAGCTTCATCTGGGGGCTGGGCCTCTGAGGAGAGAGAAGCAGCCCCGTGCTGGGCGAGCGGGGTTCTCTCAGACGAGGGGCAGGGGAGGGAGGCTTGGCCAGGGCAGAAGTTCGCTCCAAATTCGGGGTGCGGGGGCCCGGGGTGCAGCCCAGGCGGGAGCAGTGCACGTGCTCTCGCAGAGGGCAGGACAGGGCTGCTCAGGAACGGTGTCTGCGCTCCCCTGGTGCTGGTGAGTTGCGAGGGAAACTGGACATCCAGGTCTGCACGCACAGCCCTCAGTTCTAAAGGTTAGCAAGTTACCTCGATCTAGGTGAACACACATGTGGGTCGGGTGACCAGGGAAGAATTGGGAGGCCCCAGGCTGTGAGCCTGTGACCAGGGTTCCTGAGGCCTTGGGGACACATGTCCAGGGCCCACCTTAAGGCTTTGGCTTCACAATGCTGCCCCCCTTTGCTGCTCCTCGCCTGCCCCAGGGCCACCTTCGGTCTGGCACGAGAGCAGGGAGTGAGCCCCTTGCCTCTGTCTTTCAGGATGCTTAAGCGGCAGGGGCCAAGCCCAGGCAGAGGACGGGCGTGCAGACAGGGCGCTGTTGCTGCAGATGGAAGGCATCTACGCCGCCATCCCCGTGCGGCCCCCGGAGAGCAGCTCCCACGTGCAGGAGCTGTACCAGGAGTGGCTGGGCGGGGCTGACTCCCCCAGGGTCCGGGAGGCCCTGCACACTGCCTACCAGGGCCCAGGCCAGCCCACCAGCAGCCGGGACATCAAGTGGTGAAGGTGCAGCAGACGGGGCCTGTAGGCCGCCTGAGAAGGGGGTGTCATAGACGCCTGGAGCAGCTCAGCTTTTCTTTCATCGCTTTGATTTTCAGAATCCCCTGCTTCCCGTGTGTGGACAGTCCCGCACTCTGCGGGGCGCTATCGCACCATCTGTGCAACTGGGATGTGTACCTTGAGAGGAGGATTGCCCCAATTCACGCATCCTTTCATCCTGAGATGGAAAAAATCCCAAAGAACAAGCATGGAGACAGACCACTGTCTTTAGGTTTAAAAAAAATCCCAGCAGTGTCCTGTGTCCTGCGAAGAGCTGAGACCCTGTTCCGGTTCACGTGCCTCAGATCAGACGTGGAAAGGGGATGCAGCAGGCGGGCTGTGGGGTTGCCCTGTCAGGACCCCGACTTTGGCCACAATGGGAATAAACTGCCACGTCCTGGGATCAGGAGGCTCCCGCACAAACCTGGACTTCCCGCTTTCCCTGAGTCGAGCTCCGGCAGTGGCCGTATTCCTTCTGTGACCAGGCCCCGTCACGGGGGTCAGCGGGTGTGGGGGACAAGACCCTTCACGCGCCCTTCTACATTTGGGGTTTGAGCTGAATGCACCTTGGTGGGGGAGGGCGCATCAAAGATGACAGGTGTCACAGGTGGAAGGCCAGAGTGAGGAGGGGCTGCCTGGCTCAGCCCCTGCCAGGGTGGGGTCAGGGAGGGGAAGCCTGTCCCATCCATCCAGTGGCTGGTGAGGCGGCGTCCTCCACGGCCGCCCCACACACAGCGAGCCCGGCCCTGTGTGCCTGCTCACGGGGCTTGCCTTTGATGAGCAGGAAGAGGGGAAGTCTGCCCACAAACCGGTGGACGGGAAGGGCTAGCGACCACTCTCCAAGCCCTGACCCCCGGCACGTCAGGGGTCAGGGCCGTCCTGTCAGTGAGGCCCCTGTGCCTGGCCTGAGGTCGGTTTCTCAGTGCACTTGGCTTTGGCTAACATGAGGGTGATGGTCTTCTCGGACCCTCAGGCTGTTAGGTCCCCCTCATCATTCTGCTATTGCGCCTGCGGCCCCATCTGGGCCAATCTGGGCTGTTGTGTGAAACTGCATATTGTCTGCTCTCAGTCCCCCTACAGTGGGGCGCCATCCTTCGTGGTACCTGATGGTGGAATAAACATGTCAAAGGTGTCTGCGTGTGGGGAGTTGCCTGAGTGGGTGCTGCTCTCCCAGCCAAGGCTGGCAGGTGCTCTGTGGCCCCGTGGCACCGGTGTCAGGCCCTCTCCCTGTGCTCTCCGGGCTACCACGGAGAGTGGCTGGTGAGCAGTGGGGCGGGGGGAGCGGGTCTGAATCCAGGCCCCGCCCAGCAGCCCCTTGACAGGAACGCTGGTGTCCGAGTCTGAGTCTTGGTCCTGCCGGAACACCCACGGGCCACGGCCGGGCCCACCAGAGCCTGGACTTACCAGCTCCGGTTCTGCCGGGCCTGAGGGCCGGGGCCAGTGCGGAGGCCTGTCCTTCCTCCTCAGCCCGGTGGAGGGAGGGGAGCCCGTCCACGGCCTACATACCAGTCTGATGCGGGCCCAGGCCACGGAGCTGGGCACTGCCGACGGCAGGGTGTTTCCAGGTCTCACCTGGCCTTGGCCCACAGCTGAGCAGTACGGGCTTCTGGACACACCCTGCAGTGACAGCTCACGGTACGTCCAGGTCAGGCAAGGGCACTGCTGCCCAGGCTGGCAGCTCACCTGGCCACCTAACGTGGGCCCCTCGCCTCGGGCCCAGCCTTGCTGGTTACACTCCACCCTGACACACAGCACTGGTTCTGCTTCCAGGGAGAGGTGGCAGGGGGCACGGGGTCGCTCAGACGGGCTGGGCTCTGTACTTTGCAGTAAGGATGGGCCATGTGTTTTGAGGGCAAGGAGAACAGGTACCAGGACTGAAGTCTTATTTTTAAATCAAAATGCAAAGTGTATCTGTAAACCAAGAAAGGAGAAAATGAACATGAAAGGAACAAAGATCCAGAACCTGCTAACGTGTGTGGGGGGGTGCCCAGCGACAGGGGTCCTCAACTGCAGGGTCCCTGTGAGGATGCGAGTCACAGATGTGTCCTGCTGAGACCTGAGCTCAGACCACTGCGTGCGAAGTCCAGAGTGCTGGGCATCACACCACAGAGCCTCCACTGTCCAGGTCACTGCCAGGCCTTGGCCACAGCGAGAGAGGGAGAGGACCAACGGGAGAGAAGGGGACAAAGTGAAGAGGAAACAGAAGGGGGAGAGGCCACAGAGGAAGCCGCTGATGTGTCTGTGAAACTGTTGCCAATTCAAGTTCCAGCAACTGTCACTGTGAAGTGGGGTGAGGCAGGGGGCAGGGGACAGAAGGCAAACAGGTCACTGGATTCAGAGTGCTAACCGTTGCACCATGGGACCAGCGAGTGTGAACCGCACGTTTTAACAGGCACGGGGACAGGAGTGGGAGGGGATGAAAGAGGTGGTTTTGCAGCAGAGGACAGTGGGGTCCCCGCCCTGTGGGTCAGGGTGCAGCATGCCCAGCACAGCTGCACGTCACCCTGCTGGGCGCGTGTGGGGTCGACTCGGGTGGACGGCGACAGGCCAGGCGCCCTGCCCGGTGTGCAGCCTGGGTGGGGCTCTGGGTTGGCGTGCTCCCACAGCGGCTGCCTCTGAACAAAAGCTTCACACTCTAAGTGTTAAGAAACCATGTGTTTCAGGCTTTTAACGTGAAAAACTGCACTTTCAAAAAGAAACTGTTTCCCCAAGAATATTCTGGATATAAATCCTTTGAGGGAAAAAAATGTTTGAATTTCTGTTGCGCCTTTTTGTCCATACAGCGTCCCTAGAACTTGGTGCTGCAGACGGCAGGGTCTGCCTCTCTCACACCAACAGATGCACCAGGAGGAGGAAGCAGAGAGAAACTTCCGGGGTCTAACTGTTAGGACCAGCCCACACACTCGGAGGACACAACCACAAGGAACTGAATGAGCTGCATTCACAAGCAGGGTCAGAGCACGGAGCGGTCAGGACCCCGCAGTGCCTGGACCCTGTGGCATCTGAAGCTGATGGTGCGGGCACCACCAGGAGCTGGGGCCTCCCACAGTGGTGCGGGGGACCCCGGCCAGGCACCACAGTGCTGAGACAGCCCGTGCTCCTCCCCTCCACTGCTCCGCTCCTTGCCAGTGCCTCCACTGCAGGCAGCCGCTCAGCTCTTTTGCCCTTGGGCTTCCTGTTAGTTTCAGGGAAGAGAAAGGGAGAGGTGGGTCTGGAGGGCAAACAGGGGACACACAGAGACAACTCTAACCCCAGGTGCACAACCGTCAAGGGTGTGGAGGGGCGGAGAGAGCGAGGGTGGACCTGAAGTGGAGGCCTGGGCACAGCCAGCTGGGCATGGTGGGACTCCTGAAATGCACCCCGGGGCTGTACTGTGGCCTGACTCCCCCTGACAGGGGCAAAGGATGCTGTCTGGGGAACCCAGGCTCAGTCACGCAGCCCTACCCAGGCAAGAAGGTGGCCCCAGGGAGAAGGCAGTGGGAGCCATGCAATTTGCACATTTCACTCATGCCCCCGTGAGGGGGATGCAATAAAAGCAAGCTGGACAGTCAGTGTCAAAGAGCTTGGCCAGTGAGGCATATGACACACACCTCACAGTGGCCAGAACTTGAGATTCACAACCTGTGTGCAAGCACATCACACACATATCTCCAGTGTGAGAAGGTTCACTCACACACAAAGTAGCCAACAGAGGCTGGGCGAACCCTCTCTCCTGCGGCCCTCCTGATGCGGGCTTAGCCCTCGGAGTGAAATGGGGCAAAGTGGCCACAGGCACAGGAAAGGAGGCTGGGCCCAGGCTGGACCCCACAGACTCCTTTTCCCACCAAGGCAGCCCTGGCTGTGAGTCCTGCTTACCCCTTTCCGTGGCTAACAGTGACCCCCAATTCTGGTTGCGGGGAGAGGGTACCAGGAGCCTGATGGCCCACCGATCCTCTCTGCGGGCAGCCCGCGAGGCCAGCCCTGGCCTCATTTGCCGTCTTCATGACCCTCAGTCAGCGCCGCAAACGCACCAGCGCCACGGGCGGAAGCGCGTGCTGCGTATCCAGCATGGCAGCAGGCCTTGGGCCTCTGCTGGGGAAGCTGCGTTTCCTCCCAGGCCCTCACCCTCGGGGGCCGCTGCCCCGGGAAGGCGAACCGAAGCCTGCTCCCCAGGACGGGCCTAGAGGCTTCGCCTAGGTCGGCGAAGGCGTGGAGCGAAGAGCCTCCTCCTGCTTCGCACAGCTGCTGCCAAGGGTAGGAGGAGACGCCCCGACCCTCAGCTCCAGGCCCGTCAGACTCGCAGACAGGGGCCGTTTTAGCCCCCAGCACCCCCGCGCCTCCGTTCGGGCGGAGGCACAACGCCCCCCACCCCCACCCGGCGCGCCCCGAATAAAGCGGGCGGTGTGATGGGCGCAAGGGCCTCTCCCTCCCTCCCTCAAGACCGAGTGAGCGGATCTACACGTGCGAGGCGCCCGCTGGGGTCGAGGGTCACTAGCTCCCGCGTCCGTCCCTATCCCGACACCGGTGAGCTGCCATCAGGTCCGCTGGCTGTGGCGCGCATTTCTGCGCATGCGCAGCTACACGGGCGGGCGCGGAGAGCGAGTGGGCGTGTTCGCCGGAAGGACCGGGTTAGTTTGGGGCTGGGGCCGCCTGTGGGTGTCCACGGACCGTGGGCCTTGCTGGTTTACACCCAGACCAGCAGGCCCGTGTACCCGCTGTGCCCTCGCCTGCCCCGCCCTCCTCAGATGCGGGTCCGGGTGCCCAGATGCCCAGGAGCCGGGGCTCCAATGTCCTCTCCGAGTTGGGTCCTGCCCCCCATCCCCGGCCCCACGCCCACCGTCCATCTCAGTGCGGCTTGGAGCCCACTTTTTAAGAGAAAATACAGAATTAGATACGAAGGTGAATGTTGATTAGACTAAGAAAAGTAATAAACGATTTCTACTGAACAGATCAAGGCCACATGCTTCATACTATTAATAAAATATTTCAAAAAAAAAAAAAAAAAAGCCCTGGCTGGTGTAGCTCAGTGGATTGAGCGCGGGCCTGCGAACCAAAGGTTTGGGGATGAATTCCAAGTCAGGGCACAGTGCCTGGGTTGCAGGCCAGCTCCCAGCGGGGGACCCATGAGGGGCAACCATACATAGATATTTCTCTCCTTCTCTTCCTCTCTAAAGATAAATAAAATCTTAAAAAATATAAAAAAACAATATTTCATTCATCAACTGCCAGGCACACCTCTGATATCTTTTTCCTAATTTTGGGGACGCAGACTTTGATATGGCAATGACTTGGTAGAACTTTTTATAATGCCAACAGGGAAATAATTCAGTCTTTGCAGGGCTGATCAAATTTTGATTTTTACTAATACTTTAGAGAAGTCCGGCAGCTTGGCAATCTGTTAGGACTGCTATCAGGGTTGGCCAAACCACTCCTGTAAGAGCTAAAGGGTTTCAGGTGCTTCAGGTGTCTGGCCACGGTGGCCTCGGAGCTTCCCCCACAGTCGTGGCCGCCTTTCGGGTCAGTTCCGGGGACCGCGGGAGCCGCTCTCTGTGCCTGCGATTCAATCGCCGCCCGGCCCCCCCCCGCCGTTGTGTTGCCCTTTGTGCAGGAGCTGGTGTGTGTTCATAGCATGTTTGTGTCCAGGTGTCCGTGTCACATGCTCCATGGTGACTTCACAACTTGCCAGGGTCCTAAAGATACTGATCAGAATGTCTGTCTGCTGTGAGTGACATCGTCTTGTCGGAAACTGAATATAAGCAAAACAATACAGGCAACCTTTACTCTTGGACTAGGCTGATCAGCCTCATCTGGCAGTTTCCCTGTTAAAAAAACAAATTTCTTTCAAAATGTTTTGAGAAGCACCCCATGAGCCCATTCTGTGTTCTCCTTGATTCCTTTGTGGCCTGGGACCACAATTTTGAACTAGTGAATTTTTCGCTAAAGACTGTTGCGGGGACTGTCACCCATGGGAATGGACGTGGTGAAGCCTCAGTGGTCGAGGACGTCCACAGACGTCAAAGCCCAGGGCCCGGCCCCACGGTGCGCCCTGCGGTTCCACCGTCTTCCTTCTGCTTTCTTGCATCCTGTTTAGGAGTGTCCTGATTCTCTTCATACAACCCACCTCTGTGTTGTTATTTTCATTGGCCGTATTTTCTTTGCAATCACGATTCATTTCCTTCATTATTTTGACCATAACTGGTTTTAGTTCCCTTCTGATCTTCTTTTGATATTTTGAAGTTTCTACCAGCCATCTTCTTTCCATTTTCTTTTCTTCCAGTAAGATATTTCCTGTCAGTAATGTTTGAATTTTGGTGTAATCAATCATTAAAAAAAAAAAAGGTGTGCACAGTGTGACTTTGGGGCAGACACAAGTGCAACTCAAATGCACTTTAAAGTGGCCTCTGTGCAGTGTCTGGGCAAGAACACAACCACACACCCCAGGCACTGGCCTACTGGCGAGTGTGCGAAGGAACATTGTCACTAAAACACACTTTTTTCCAGGCCCTGGTGCTGTGTCATTACCAAATCCAGTGGCATTTCTCCAGAAAATTCCAGACTTTGTCCGGATAAGGTCCTTCAGATGCACCAAGACTCGATCTGAAATGTTGGCCGCAAAGACTCGACCTTGAGTGTGGGCTCATCAGTGGTGCTGCTGCAGGGGTGTGGCCTGCATGCATGTTCTGAGAGACACTTCCATGGGACAGGTGGTGGCAGTGGGGTCGGTGGCCCCCCGTGAATGCCCCCATCTGACCGACCCTGGAGGGACAGCCCCTCTCTCAGCTGGGACGTCCGCTGTAGGGATGTCTTCAGCTGCAGCCCGCCTGGCAATTGGCAGATTCAGAGTTCTTCATCCCTGCAGTTTAGTTTTCTCTTTACTCCTGGTGTGCAGCCCTCACCCCCTGGGTGTGGCCTTCTGGTGTCTCAACCGGTTGTCTGGGTTGCGCCAGGACCATCCCTTGGCCCCAGCGTGTCCCCGTGTAAGAGACCTCTGCCCTCTGACACAGCTCTCTCATGACACCTGACACCAGAGAGGTCAACCATCAGGGTCAGGTCGCTGTCACAGAACTTCCTCTAGTTCTGATTACTTATGTGTTTGCATTTAGGAAAGAATAGGGATAATACTGACCTTGCACCTGCCTCATCACTGGATACAGGAACTAACTGCCAACAGGGAAAATACAAAGCCCCTGACATTGAGAGATAAATCTCCAGTATAATTCAGTGTTTTAGTCTCAATCAAAACTTGCATATATTTGTGTTGCCTTGATCAATTATGTGTTAATAGTAGTTGTAATGCTAATTCAATGGAAGGGAAATGTTTTTAACATGAGACTTATGTCCACAGGAAACTGCAAATTAAATCTCTCTCTCCCTCTCTACAGGGATACATAATAGTCATCAATAAATTATGTTCAACCACACCTGACTGGCTGGTGTGGCTCAGTGGACTGAATGCTAGCCTGTGAACAGAAAGGTCACCGGTTTGATTCCCAGTCAGGGCACCTGCCTGGGTTGCAGGCCGGGTCCCCACTTGGGGAGAGCAAGGGGCAACCAATGGATGTATCTCTCCCTGTTTTTATCATTCCTTTCCCCTGTCTCTCTCTAAAAATAAATAAATAAATGAAGTTCAAGCATAATACTGTATATAGAAGGAAATCGGGGGGAATTTGAATGGAAATGAGTTCAGGGGAAAAGGATTTCATGGAACTCCTGGATGTTAACCATGAGATTGTCTGTGTGGTTATAAGGCGTGTGGCCGTGGGTTTCAAATCCCAGTGGCTGCAGCGGATTCATTTAAGGAGTGATGTCATGCTTTTATTTTAAAAGTCGGTATTTATAATGTTTGGGAAATTAAATCCATTGAAAAATTTAAACATGGGGGAAACTTTTGCTATTATCGTATAGGGGGTGGGACTTACACGTGTTCATAATACTGGTTTATTGGGCAGTTATGCAAAATGCTTTGCGGACGGTGGGTGCAGCTCCCCTTTTCTGAAGCCTAAGTGGTTACAGGCAACACAAACAGTTTCGCTCCTTTCAGTTTTGTCCTCCACAGCCAACAGGTTCTTCTTTCAAAAAGTTCAATGAGATGGTGCTACTTCTTGCTTGCACTGACCAGCAGATTCCCATTTCAGTAAATGCAGAGGGGGGCACGCAGGAAGCTCTGGGGCCCTCGGCCTGTTCAGTGCTGCCCTGTCCTCGCTCACCGGCCTTCCCCTCGGGCACTCGGGACGAGCACATCCTGCCTCGGGGCCAGTGTCCTTGCTGTTGGCCCAGGTGTCACTGTGCCTCCTCCTCTGCTGGCCTTCCTCCGTGTCTGGCCCCTTCGCCCTACCTTGCAGCTGCGTATGTATTCCCACACGTGCTCTGGGTCCTCCAGCCAGTTAAGCCCCTGGGGCGGGCACCTGGATCAGGCTCCCGGCCCTTGTCCTGCACATGTCCAGAACCTACCAGATGCACAGTGCTCATGGCCTGGATGAAACAGCCCACCTTTGTGAAACTCAGGTCTGGGGTCTCTTTCACCTATCTGTCTGCAGCTCCCTGGCGGGAAGGGCCCCAACGCACCTCCCTCCCTCCCAAGCCTCTGCTGGGGCTGTTTTTCCCTCAGTGACCACAGGCCATGGGCTGGCTTCCTCTTGGTCTCCCTTTACACATGGTGACTCCACACGGACGGGATGTGGCTGCCCGGTTTACTCACGGCTGTGCGTCCCCCCGGCCTGTGCCTGGCACACAGCGGACGCTTGCTGTGGACTCAGCATGGACAGGATGTGGAATGCAAGCCCTGCCTCTGCTCTGCAGCCTCTGATTGTTCTGGCCCTCGGTGCCTCCTCTGCTTCTACGAACTGTGAGGTGCTGGCCACCTCTACCTGCCTAGGGCCTGGGCACTGCCATCTTGCTATCCAGGCACCTGTGTCTGCAGGAGGAATATGCCTGAGGTACGTGAGTGCAGTGCCACAAGCTCATCCTCTTTATGTCTGTAGGCCTGGGTGCTCTGCCGGTGGCAGGTACTCTATGTTGATGAAACCCATCCAAAGTCGGGGACCATTTCCAGGAGCCTCCTGTAGGTTTGTGAAAGGCAGACAACACATCCTCTGAACACCAACACGCTTATCTCAACGAAGCTGCTGGCAGCTGGCAGAGTGGTGCGTGTCCTGTGCAGTGAGCACTCAGCCCAAAGCAGGGGCACAGAGCACCGGGAGGCAGGCACCTGGGACAGCAAAGTCCACACTGCCTTTGTCAACAGTGACTTGGAAACATTTGTTATGCTGAACCCTATGCTCTTGCTTTCGATCAACTGTGTGTTGGGGTTTTTAATTATTTTTTGAAAGATTTTATTTTATTTATTTATTTTTAGAGAGGCAGGGAGGGAGGTAGAAAGAAAGGGAGAAGTATCGGTGGGGTGCAACTGTCATCTCCAGCTTTGCGGGACGATAGCAGCCCAGTGAGCCACACCGGTCAGAGCTGGATATTGTTTTTAAACCACAGGTTTCCCCACTTGTCACTTCCACACCTGTCTCAGCACCACCTAAAACCTCTCCCACATACAAATGAGTATTTGACGAAACTAATGTCCTGTCTAGGACATTCTGCAGTACTATGGTTCAAAGCAGTTTGATCTCTTAGGGATTTGTAGTGTGACTGCAAACACATTTATAGCAAATAAAACATGCAAATGTTATATTCAGAGGGACCCATTAATTTCCACTTCCTTTAGGAGGTATTTTTACACACAAAAACGAATTAAAAAACAAAAACAAAAAACAGACAGGCCTCCCTAGCTGGGTCTGTCTTGGGCCTCTGTTCAGATCTTGCCGGGAATGTTTACTTTCTCCTGCTCAGGTTAAGCCCAGCTACCTTGCACGTCCTTCCACTTACACTGACCTCCTTCTGCACTCAAATTATATCTTTCTGTTCTACTTGTTCTTCATGATTAATCAGCAAACAGTGGAGCACCTCGATGACAGCTAGCATTGTTGATAGGGACTAGCTCCTCGTGGGGACCTCAGGGCCCACGTGCCTCCTCCAGCAGGGGCTGAGAGGTGCGATTTACCGTGGTTCAGATTTTGCGCAGACGCACCTGGCGCTCACGCTGCTTTTCCTGGGACTGACATTCCCTGCGCTTCATCGTCCCTGTTTAGGTCGCCGAAGGGTGTCCCTGATCCTGTACAGGCACCACTCCTTAAGGAGCGTGCGTTGTGCACGAATGGTCCCCGTTGTGCAAGAAGGGCGCCCGACCTGCCGTGCGTGCTGCGCTGCGGTCCGGAGCGTGGCCAAGGCGCCCACGCGCGTATACAGGGTTTTCACTGATCACGAAACATCCAGACCTTGACATTCTCGATGTCCAGGGCGTCTGCTAATTATCTTAACTGGGATGAAAAGTGACAACGTGGAATCTGTCGGTGTTGGATGGTTCACGACAGTCTCTTTCCCGCTGCTTGAGGCTCTGCGGTGACAGCAGAGGCCCAGCGCGCGGCAGCCCGCGGGCGTTTGCGGGCTCGGCGGAGCCGCCAGCCTCAGAGCAGGTGCCCCGGTCCCGCCGCCTGCGGCGACCTTGATCCGCCGCCGTCACCGCCGCAGCGCCGGGCCGCGCGCTGCTCCTTGGCTCCGCAGCCAGCTTTACTCCGCGCCGGGATTTCCGGGCCGCCGGAGCCGCGCCTGCGTCGGGCGTCGCGGCCGGACGTGCGGGCGCCGGGCTGGCGCGCCTCCCCATTAGCGGGCCGCGGTAGCCCCACTGCTGTGCGTCGCCCCGATAGGCGGGCGCGGCCGTCGGTCAGCGGCCCGGCGCCGCTCGAGCGCGCCGCGCGTGTCCCGCCCCTCGCCGCCGCTCGTCGCTCGCCGGCCGGCGGCCTCGCTGGGCCTCAGCTCCGTGGCGGCGGCGGCGGAAAGGCCGGCCCGCGCAGGCCCATGGCGGCGGCCGCGGCGCTCCCGGGCGCGGGCGGGCCTCCCGCGGGCGGCGGGGCCGGCGGCGGCGGCGGGGCCGGCGGCGGGTCGCCGCCGGGCGGCTGGGCCGTGGCGCGCCTCGAGGGCCGCGAGTTCGAGTACCTGATGAAGAAGCGCTCGGTGACCATCGGCCGCAACTCGTCGCAGGGCTCGGTGGACGTGAGCATGGGCCACTCGAGCTTCATCTCGCGACGCCACCTGGAGATCTTCACGCCCCCGGGCGGCGGCCATGGCGGGGCGGCCCCGGAGCCCTCGGCCCAGCCCGGGCCCGACTCCGGCGGCGACTTCTACTTGCGCTGCCTCGGCAAGAACGGCGTGTTCGTGGACGGCGTGTTCCAGAGGCGCGGGGCGCCGCCGCTGCAGCTGCCGCGCGTGTGAGTGGGGCCGGGACCGGACTCAGACCCGCGACTCGGGCCTTGGCCCTGCCTGCAAGGGGGGTCCAGCCAGGACCCCGACCCCCGATCCCATCCGTCCTACCCACACCCGGGATCTGCACCCCTGCTCCGGGCCGCGTCCTCTGACTTGCGGCCCGACCCACAACCATTACCCGGTCGCATCACGATGCACCACCCCGGTCTGTTCTGCCCGGTTCCTGTCCCGGACGGGGCCTCCCGGGGCTGGGGCCTGGGTGCCACGCGCGCGGGTCCAAGGCTTCCGGCCCCTCTGCTGGTCCTGGGCGTTCGTGCACGTTTTTGTCTCCTGCCGGCGTGCAGGGGGAGGCCTGGACCGGGACGCTCCCAGGGCTGGTGGGGCGCCGGCGCGCGGACGAGATCGGCGCGTCCGTCCATCCCGCCGGTTTTCCTCGCTGATCGAGCAGCGGGTCCGGTGTTTAAGCTGTAGGGACACCTTCTCTGCAGTCGTACTTTCCGTACCCTAAAAGGGAGAAATCTTTCAAGCGTGATGAACCTCAAAATCTTGGGAGGACTGGCTACTTTTAACAGAACTTTAAAAAAGTCTGGCGGTGGTTCAGCCCTTAGGGTTGGGCGGTTGAGCACGTTAGCTCAGTGCGGCCAGGAGCTGTCCTCGGGGCCGCGCTGGTGTGTCCAACAGCCCAAGGGGCTCCCCACCCAGGACGCCGGCGATGTCCCAGCAGACGATGCTGTATCTTTTCTATGAGGGTTTTAAAGAAACTTTTCATTCCTATTCAGCCGAAATCGTGTGCGTGCATGTGCTGGACATGGCAACAGCTTGGCCTCTGGGGCACAGGCGGGGAGGGGACTCCGGGGTCCGGACACGGGGGAGCAGACCTGGACCCGGGCCGTTCCCCACCGCCTGTACCCACCTTCCGAAGCTTTTGGTGTAGGTGCCATGCAGGCCAGTGGAGCAGACTGGGAAGACAGCTGGTACTAACCAAATGCAGACAAACTTAGAACTCTTTTTCCTGAGATTAAACTCAGTTTTACGTTGCATGCCCTCTTGCTGTAAAGAAAAGATGGAACTCTGTAAGTGTAAAAGCATGTGTGCTGCAGGCCACACGCAAAAGCCGGAGTATTACTTGTTTCCCACGGGCGCCAGGCGGGCGGTCGCCCGAGGAAAGGACGGCCCGGCTCGCCAAGGGTTTTGTTCCAATTCTGTGTTAAGATGAATTTGCATTTTTGGGTAGTTTTAAAAACTCACTACAGAGCATTTAGAAAAGTGCAGGAGCAGTTTAGGCTTAAAGTGTGGTTCCGCACTTGTTTTTGAAGATGTCACTTGCTTACTTGCAAGGGAAGCGATGGGAGGGCGAAAGTCGTTGATGTGAAACACCAGTCTGTTGCCTCCCGTTCTTGCCCCAGCCAGGAACCCAAGTGGAGACCTTTAGCTTCGGGAGGACACCCAGCTCACTGAGCCTCACTGGTCAGGGCCGGCTCGTCATTTATTAAAACACTGAATGTGCTGGTGTGGGGGCAGTAGAGACGGATGGGGACATGGCCCTGTAGTTGCTGTCACAAGTATTTCAAACGGTCTGGCGGGGCCTGGGCACGGCGCCTGCTCCACGGTGCTTGGTGGGCTCTGTGCCCAGTGTGGGCCGCAGCGTGTGCAGGCGTGTGGGGAGGGGTGTGGGGGGGTGTCAGGGCCAGCGCTTTTCCAGAAAACAAGTGGTTTCCACAAATCCTTGATGTTGGGCCAAGTATGCAAGGCTGAGTGCACAGAAATGCAGCTTCTTCTGCCCAGGAGCACCTGCACTGGCTGGACGCGCAGGAGGCGTTGGGAATGGGGGCTCTGTGCTGCGGACTCGGTGGGAGAGCCCTGGGCCACCCTGCAGGTGAAGGTGGCCTTGCAGGCAGGTCTGGGCTGGCAGCTAGCACGGGAGGAGCTGAAATTGGGGCTGGAAGGGCCGTTGGGGCGAATTGTGGGGCATGAGGTTCACGTGGACCTGGGGGGGCATTTTCATGTGCTCAGTGAGCGAGTGGAGGACGTCCCCTCTGAGGACAGGGCCCTCCTGGTCTCTGCACCTGGTCTGGAGCCCGGGGGAGCAGTAAGGATTGGTTGGGGACTAACGTTGGGTGTGTTGTTGCTTTTGTTGCCATGGTAGCAAACAAAGCATAATTTATAAATAAAAATAAGCAATTCGTTAACAGTTGTTTCTGCTTTGAAATGCCCAGTGGACTCAACAATAGCTTTGGTCAGCGAGGTCTTGGCAATATCTGATAGCCAGACATGAGTGGAGCAGGTCGGACTCACTACTGCCCCGGACGCTGAACATGCAGAATGGCTGCTGCATGTGTTTGGGGGGGCTGTCCTGAGGCCGAGTGACCCCTGCTGCCTGGCTTGTGCAGCGTGTCGGAACTTGCAGGTGCAGTTGGGTGGTGGCGTGTGGGAAGGCTTTCTCGTTGGGTCAGAGACGGCATCCTCTCGGGTAGGGGCTTCTGGAGCTTTCCTGTGGCGGCTCCATCCTGGGAACGCACAGTGGCTGGGTCTGGCCCCAGAATGGGGACAGGCAGAACAGAGGAGGCCAGCCGCCCCTGGAGAGGCACGGGCAGCAGTGTGCGCACCAGGAGGCTGGGAGGACGAGAAAGGAGCCATGTGGGGTGGGGTGGTGAGGAGGGCGGAGGCGACATTAGGGTTGGAAGCAGGGGAAACCCTGTGGATCACCATCACCAGGGTAAAGCGGCTGAAAGAACCACTGGGGAGTGCAGGGGGCTGAGGAGGGGACACAGATGTGGTGCGAGGGAGGACCGATTTCCCAGTAGAGGACGGTCAAATGGGGTTTCTCATTTGAAGACCTGGGCAGGGCCCCCAGTGGCAGAGCCACGGGCCAGGCAGAGCTGCAGGCCAGGGCGCAGGGCGGCCACCCCTGGGCCTGAGCAGGGGCGATGGGCTGGTGCCGAGGTGCTTTGCTCTGGGAAAAGCTGCAGTATGCGCTCGCTCGGCAGGCGGGCAGCTTTTTATCACTGACTTGTAGACACTGGGGGGCATGGTGCAGCTGTTGTAGCACGATCGTCACTGCACTAAGTTACAGTGACTCCGTGAGCAGCCCCCTTCGTTGAGTGTTCACTGGCTTGTCCGGGGGCAAAACTCAGTTTGGTCATTTTCACGTTGGCTCAATGAGTAGTTCAAGGTGGTGTAGATGTGACATATTTTGGATCTCTAACGCATTTTGAAAAACAATCCTACATAGTGGGACTTGCCACCCCCAGGGGTATCGAGTGCCGTGGGGCTGTCTCCGAGGCGGTGAGGAGGGGCCGGGCAGACTGGGGCCCAAAAGCCCGCCCTGCTGCTTAGCCCGCCCAGGGGTGCGTCCCCTGGTCGGCAGCACGGGGGCAGCGGTCTGACTCTGTGGGATACGGTCAGCACCTGCCAGTGACGTCGGGGCCTTGGGTGTTTGTCCATCCCAGTGTCCTGGTGTGGGGGGCTCCCAAGGGCCCACTGTGACAGACATATGACGTGAGGCTGCAAATGGCTGCGGGCTGCCCTCTGGGATGTGCTCACAGCTCCACGTGCACACGCGGGTGGATCGGCCCAGAGCGAAGCTCCCTCAGCTGGGAGAGGCGCCGCTCCCCGCCAGGACCTGGGGGTGAAGGCGGTGTGGAGAGGTCCGCCTAGGTGGCCCAGGGCCCCATCCCACCCGCCTGCCCGCCTCCCACTCTGCTGCTACCGGGGGAGGACGCGCGCTCAGCCCGGGGCCGGATCCTATGGGAGGGCGTGGGCTCGAGGGCGCTGTCGCTTGTGTGTGGAACTTGGCAGCTGGCGCATATTGTTTTTGTCTCTTCAACGGCTTTTTGGTTGAAGTGGAACGAAGCACATAGACTTAGACTTTGGAAACTCCGGCCAAGGTTTCTTTTTGAGGGGCAGCGAAGACCTGGAGCTGGGCTCCCCTGCTGGCCCATTCGTCTTCCCACCCAGCTTTTTCCGGGTGCGCCTCCCTGGAGGGGAGGGCACAGGGCCATCATCGCTTGCCTGCTGACCGCTGATCTAGACATTACTGTTGTGGGGACGGTCTCCTGAGCCGATCGCCTAGTGACCGGGTTCCAGTCAGGCGTGGCTCCTGCTCTGTTCCCAGCCCCTAAGGCATCAGCAGGCCCGGCCCAAACCCTCGCCCAGAGCCCCGCCCTGTGCCCCGCCCTGTGTGGGGTGGGCGTGGCCAGGGCGTGGCCACTGCAGGGACGTTTTTCCCTGTGAATTGCCCCGGCTCTTGCTTTGCTGAGGAGGAAGGCATGTTGGGTTTTTCTGGAAAATGAAGAAAAGGGTTTCTCAAATAAGGAAGCTTTAAAAAAAAAAGGCTTAATTCATTTATCTTTAGAGGGGAAGGGAAGGAGAGAGGGAGAGAAATATCAATGTGTGGTTGCCTCTTGTGCATCCCCCGCTGGGAACTGGCCTGCAACCCAGGCATGTGCCTTGACTGGGAGTCGAACTACAGTTGTTTGGTTTGCAGGCCCAGGCTCAATCCACTGAGCTACACCAGCCGGGGTGAAGCTTTTAGTGAAAGCATTTATGGTTTTGGGTAGTGTCTGTCTGTCTGCCATTTTTGTGTGTCCTTATTTTCTTCCGAGCCTGGGTTTTGGAGCAGTTCATGATGTCCTGGTGACAGCGCAGTGATTCCGCTCCTGCACATCTGGTCCCCTGTCTGAGGAGGGCTTTTGAATTTTCTGCCGAGCCCGATGCACTGGGCTCGTCTGCGGCACCGGGCGCCCTTTGTGTGGCTGGAAACGAGCAGCCTCCGGAGCAGCCTCCGGGGCTCGGTGTTGCTGCTGCCGCCCCAGGACGGGGTCGTGGGGCCGTTGGTAGCACCTTCTCGGGCCTGGGTCAGTTTCTACGGCGCAGGCGGCACACCCAAGGCTTGCTGGCCGAACCTGGCCCTCCACCTGCTTTTATCCCTCCCGGCACCTTGTTTCTACCCGGTGGCAGCGCCAAGCTCCTTGCTCCTTGCCTCTACTTAAGGAGAAGTTACATT